GAAGCAGCGCTGAAGCTTGAAGCAGTGCTGAAGCCTGAGGCAGCTGTGGTGCCTGAGCCAGCTGTTCTGCACGAACCAGCTGCGGAGGCTGCGCAAGCAGCTCAGTCAGAAGCAGCGCTGAAGCCACCAGCCCAGGAGCCTGTTGTGTTTTTGCTTTATGGCCATGTGCCATTGCTATCAGAATCAATAGGGAACCACCTCCAAAGTGGTTGGGGGACTGAATCCCCTCCAAAATGGTTCACCAAAGGGTCCCGTCACCGTATTAAGAATTAGGATGTGCAGCTGAGATTGCCTCAAGGTTGCACAAACGCCTGAAGTCAAGCAGCCAGGAGCAAGCACAGAGCGTGGACTTGCTGAGCATGGAGGAGCTGCACAGCCGTGTTCGGGAGATTTGCAAGAAGCGACGGTTGCTTTTGAGATGGTATGTTTCTCAGATCTTTGTGAGGCCCCTGCCCAAATATACCCCCTTTTGCCATTTGGCGGGACTGGTGATAGCCGTCTTTGTCGGGATCCTTTGGGGCGTGGGGGGGGGGGGGGGGGGGCATATTCGCTTCTGGTAAACCCAGCCTTGGTCCGGTGCGAGTCATCGCAAGCCACACGTGGATCACCAAGAAAACGAGGTCCTTTGGTTTCAAGCTTTCTTGCCTTGTGGGCCTTCATGAAGGTTTAGCTGGTTCAATGCTTTGGATGAAGGGCCTTGTTTCTGCCAAGGCAGGGGGCAAGAGGCAACACTCATGTAACTTTTTATGTAACTGATGTGCCTTTCCGCTTTAGACGTGACGCGGTCTGGGATCGTTCAAGTTGCTTTGTGAGCCTGCAGATATTTGGCCACCAAGAGGGCTTTCGGCCGCTCCAGTTTTTCTGGTCGTTTTAGTCTCCCTCCCACCAATTAAGATGGAACGCGACAACGGGTCTCTTAGGAAAATGATTCTTTCGAAGGTCGGGTTCCATGGTCAGGGTATCTAGGCCCTGGGAGCAGCCCAGCTTAGGCGCTTCTTTGGCCAGGATCCTTCCGCAGGCCAGTGAGCCGAGCGAAAGACCCGGCAGAAGCGAGAACCCGGGACGCCTGTGCAGAAGGTGACCCCAACCAACGCATGTTTTTCAAGTTTTTGTTTGCTTCTCCCTTCAGTATGTTTGTTGGACACGTTTGACCAAAATCTGGCAGGGTTTTCGGGTCCTGACAGAAGCCTGTGAGACACAGAGCCGTGCTTGGCTTCCCAGTTTGATGCGGCAAAAGCCGCCCGCAGAACGCAGAATCTCAGAACGCCGCCGAATCTGCGCCAAAAGGGCCAGAGAGAGACAGTCCGGCGAGTGCGAAGATATCCAGACTGGCCGCTTGGCCTACGCGTCCGGACATCGACAGATGTTGATTTGTGCAATGGTCAAATCACCTGAAGCCCTCAAACATGTAGAACACCATTGTAAGGGTGAAGGGAACCACAGCCATGACTCAAATGAGTTTTGACCACGGCACGTTTGAGCATTTGCTCACAGCAGCTTCGACTGCGCATCCACTTTGGCCCCCTCTTGGCTCGAACCAGCACTCTGCTCCGGTCGGCAGCATTTTGGGAGGGATGAGCCGCTTGGATGCAGGGGTAAGACTCAAAGACGATTCCACCCAGCACATACCCAGTTGCCCAGTGGCATTTGTCCTTATTTGGAACTTGCATACACGTAGCTGCGTCTTTTTTGGAGAGGACCATTTTTTTGGTGTGTGTGTGTGCGTGTGTGGTGTTAAAGGGAAACTAGAATGGAAACCAGCTGTTGGGGCTACTTCCAAAGTACAACAAATTTTAATCTACAAGACTACAATCCCCATGGCACCACACGGGCTAGGTATTTTCCAACCGCAAGTTTTTAGATGTTATTTGAAGGGCACCAAAAGGGAACCAGCCATTGTCAAGAGGCCCTCTATATTTTCGGACGCACCTATATTTGGTTCGGGCTCCCTATACTTCCCCTTTGCTCTTTCAGACCTTCGGGCCAAGACAAACTCAACGGCCCTCTAACTAGGCAGGTTGCTGTTTGCATGGGAACATAGGGCACCCTGTTTGATCCAAATGTCCCATCGTTTACCGTTGACCCCCAAATTTGCCAAGGGACAAGAATGTAGACCTGGACCAGGGTGGGCTTCATGACTGGCAGTCTTCCATTGGGTGGGGATCAGGGTTTGGCCGACGGTTAAATTCAAGCTCCTTTTGGTTCTCGGGAATGAGGGAATGACCCCGATAAACCATGCCCTTGTGGTTTCCGTTAAGGGGACGGGTTCATGCCAACTCATTCCCTGCCGAGCGCACCAGCCAGGGTCTGGTTGTTTACACGCATGTTGCCCAACTAGGTCCCCCAGTAGTGCCCCTTTACCCTTTTTTTGGGGGCGGGTTCCCCTACTAAAATAGCCTACAGAAAAAAAGGGTACCCTTATTCTAACCTCTCAAATCTGGAGGACCTAGCCAACGGTTCGCTGGCAGAAGGCGCTCCCATGGTTCACAAACCCAGAAAGCCCATCTCCAAGGCGCCGGCTACGGCGGCTCGGCCTCGGCTGCAGGCCGCTGGTACCAAACCTGAGCCAAGAGATCCCAAAGCGAAAAGCGACGCCTCAGCCGCTGAGGGGAAGATGCCTTGCCCAAAAATTGTTCAGAGATTCGGAGGTTGCCGCGGGCGCGATAGGACTCTGCAAGGCGAATCACTTGTCAGTGTTTGCAAGCTTGGTTCCAACAAGCAGACCAAAGGCACCCTGAAAGGGTAACCTAAATAGTGCTATTTGACAATGGTGTATGTTTGCATGTTTCAACAGGTGGCTGGTCCAACCCTGTCTATGTTCCACCAGATGACCACGCAAGCTAGCAACTTCTTGGTTTGCACTTCTAACAATGGTTTGACACGATTCCAACATTGCGACCTGCGGAAGAAGCCACCTGACGCCAGCAGGCACCAACACAACCAGGAAACCTTTGTGGCAAAGAGCCGGGGCACATTTGCTGCATTGCCACATGGATTTTACATCGAAAACACGGGAACGTATACTAGCGGACCAAGCGGAAATGCTGCATACCGCTCGAGGTCCCTCTCACCCTCCGACTCCTTCTATCCAGTGAGCCAGTTGAGAGAAGAACGGTCAACTGACACTCCGCCCGAGGGGAAGCTTTTCGCGAAACGTTGCCTTCTCCTTCCAAAACATCAGAAAAACAAAGAAACAAACACAATTATCGCCGCCCACCTTCCCAAACGCCCAAACAGTATTGATTCTCTCTGGCCCGAACCTCTCCCATGCATCCCCACTTCTCTCCCGTCCATGAAGCCCTCCGAGCCCCAGCCTCCTCCCCCCCCCCCGCGGACCCTGGTTCCGTCGGAGTCGAAGGCCCCGTCTCCAAGAAGGTGGCGGTGCTGGCGGGGGATGGCATCGGCCCGGAGGTGATGGCGGAGGCCGTGAAGGCAGCCGGGGGAGGCGAATTGGGAGCTCCGGCCCCAAGAAGCCTGCGCCGTCAAAGTGCAAAGCACCATGGAAACCACGGCCTACATTTAAGATATGATATATTGTAGCATATACAGAGAGATACTTTGATATGTAAGGGTGTCCTTCATCTGACATGTAAGGTGTCCTTCCTTTACCACCCAAAAGGACCGGCCTACGCGGTCTGCATGGGGACGGTCATCTACCTTGTAGTACAAAAGGAGTGGGGCCATGGCACACATGGGCGTCGTTGGCGGTTCGTTTGGGTGTGTCCGGACCCCCAGAGAAAAAGCAAGTCTGTAAGGGTTCTCCCCTTCCAATTTGAGCCAAACCGATAGACCATGGGCGCTTACCACTCAGTTTCTGAAAGGCGGCACTCAAAAATCAAGCGACACATTGGCGTTTGCTGGGTTCTTGAAAAGTTAAGGGTGGCTATACTCCCTTGCTTGCGGATCAACGGAAGGATCCCACAAAACATGTTCAGGATGACAAACTTATGTCGGGGAAGAGTGTGTTAGGTGCCATATGCACTTGCACAGGGGACATGTTGATTTTTGATTTATCAATCAAAACCTTCATATGAATCAGTCAGCTGCAACTCCTTAGGTATGTGCATCCAGATGCATCCAACGACGACCTTGAGCGATGCGCTTGAATTGTTGTTTTTGTTTTGTTACGTGGAGTGGTGGGGTTGTGAATGCGCCTCTCTTCCAAAGTTGCAGACCACATTTGAGATTTATGTATCACATCCCATCCACTGGACAGGCTTGTCACCGCACGTCCTGTTTGGCATCCTAGCTGGACGTTGATTCTTTCGCTGGTGTCTTGTTTGGCAATCCAAAAGCTTCACGTTAAACATCCTGTTTCTTGACTAGGTCCCCCAGTAGTGCCCTTTTACCCTTTGTTGGGGGAGGGTTCCCCCACTAAAATAGACTACAGCAAAAAGGGCACCCTTATTCTAGCCTCTCTACTGGAGGACCTAGAGTTTGCAAGTGGGAAGGGCATGTTATCAGAGCTCCGAGCTCCTCTCGATTTTGTGGGCGTTTCGTTCGGGAGGATGCAGCTCGAGGGGAAGGAAGCTGGGGGGAAATTGGCCCATGTCATTGGGTTCCCCTCTCTCGAGACGAACCCTTGAGGGCCTAAAACATTCGCCATGGGTTTCCCCCCCCCCGGCCCCCCCGCTCCTTGGCTTTTTTTCGGGGGCGAGGTGGCGGGGGCCTGGGACCACAGCGTGCGGGTCGGAGAAATCGCCAAGGTCAGGATGATCCTAGGAACGAGAACCAACTTCCAGGTGTCCGATGAGTGGTAAAGGGGGGGTGCACTTCTGGGCCAAAGCAAGTTTGCTCCGGGCCAGGTGGTGCGGAAGGTGGGGGAGCTGCATGGGCATGACTTTAGCTTCACGGACTACAAGGCGCTGCTTTCTTCTTTGCGATGGAGACTCAGCCTGGCCTGTTCAAAGGCAATCCTGAGTCCTCGCATGGGGTTGCGTGAGGGGTTCTTCATTTGTAGTGGTTTCTTTCTGGGGATTTGGGATGTCGAAACTTCTCGTGGCTAGCATGGACTCTGGGAATCCTTTCGCCGTTCCTTCAAGTGCATCTGTTGCAACACCTCCTTTCACCATGACAATCTGTTGCAACACCTCCTTTCACCATGACATATGTGCGTTGAGGTGTGTCTTGTCATGTGGCTTGGTTGGACTCAGCAAAATGGCTGACTCAAGCGAGCTCAATGATGTTTCTATCAGTCATTCATAGGAGGGCTGTGGCTAAAGGACCCCGACCAGTTTCACGCAGGCAGATCCCCAATGATGTTATCAGTGACCGCTGTCGTTCTTTGTTTTTTGTCCAGTCATTTTGGTCAGGTGGGAGGTGCAGCATGGGCAGCCACTGAGGCGCCGTGCTGACCTTGACGAGGGACCTGCAGAGTTGCGGGAAACAACAAACACATGGAAGGGGAAATTGTAGGCCGCCCATGTGCCAGTCAAGCTCGAGCCAGTGGCTCCGAGCTACTTCTTTTGATCAATCACAGCAGCCAGTGGCGCCAATGGCGCTGTCAACAGCCAATTCGGGGAAGGAGCGCGCCTCCTTTTTTTTTCGAGCAGGTGTCGTCCATGTTTTGCTTTTCGCGCAGTGTCCATCCTAGCCCAGCCCCCCAAGTTTTCATGGGGTCAAGGGCGTGGATCTACAACACGGGTCGTGGCTCGTTGCTATTCGAACGAATGGTGATCCAGGGTTCGCTCCCGCCAATGCGCAGGAATCGTCAGATGGGGGAAGTGGGGCCGATTGCACCTGGATTACCTGGCAAGTGGACCCCCCCTGGGCGGCAAATGGGCTGAACTCACTTGCCAAAAGGATGTTCCTCCGGCGCCCAAACGTGTGTTGAGTGAATGAGACGCACATTTGCCCGCTTTGGCGCACGTCCTGAATTGCACAAGAATCACAAGCCTACAAATACAGCAGAATGGTACAATGATATCTAAGGAGGAATTTTCACTAACCCTTATCTCGCTTTGCTTGTTTGGCTTTCATCCCAGGCAAGCAGAACACCGTATAAGTATATCCTCTTGTAGGAAACCCGCCCAAGCCACCAATCCCTCAAGCCCACGAACATCACGAACAGGGAAGAGTGGAGATAGAACAATGCCATACATTTCTGTTCCCCCCCCCCCCAGAGAACGATGTGGTTTCCATGAAAGCTGGCAGGCTGCAGGGGAGACCCCGAGCCACCTGCCTGCCACCACGCTGAAGGGTTGCGAGACCTCAGCTGCTGGGATTTATGTAAGGAATTCACGGGCACTTGGGGGTGCGAGTGGTCACCATAGAAACCAGCCAGAATTTCTACGGGAAGTTGGATTTCCAAACACAAGTTCATTTCAACTTAGACCTTAGCCTCTGAGGGTATCTCTGCGCAGGGTCCAAGGACGCCTTTTAACCCTTTCGGGCCTCCTTTTTGGTCCATGTTCAGTTTCGCCGTTCATTTCTAGGCCCTCTGAGTACATGTTCCCCAGGCCAAGGGGAGGAGTTGGATCTCCCAGTGCTCACCGTAGATTGAAGAGTGACAGCAGATCAACTGGGAACCAGACAACCTGAGCGGTTCTCAGTTTGTTTCTTTCCGGCTCGCTCAGAGATTGGCATATTGACCAGGGTATCAAGCGAAGGCAATTGTAGCAATGCATTGACTCAGGTTGGAAAAACAAATGCCTGCGGGTATGCCAGTTACAGCGTTCAGAACTTGGTATTTGGGCGACGAAATGGTCATGATTCCAGCACTGGTTCATTGGAAATGCCGGACCTGTCCTGGAGTGGATGGACGATATCCTGCACCACTTTGAAACCATGGGAAACCATCGTTTGTTGGTACTTACAGGAGAATCATTCCAGGGTGTGGAATAATGGACCCCTGTTTGGCCTACCAGCTGCCATTGCGCAGCCTCGTTTTGCATGTTGCGGAGCTGTGGACGGATTGCCGGTTCGGCTTCGATTTGCTCAGTTCGCCACACGGCTTTGTGCTCGTTGTGTCTTAACCCGTCCCGGTTTCTCGACTTTGTTGTGTTGGGAAGAGTCCGCGGAACAGTTTTCTGGAGAATGTGGGTCAACCATCCACGTCCCGGCCGAGGATGCTATCCTCTTTGGCTCCGTGGGAGGTCCGGTTGATAAGCAGCACGAGCCAGCACCTGAGACCTTCCCAGTGCTCAGTGCTCAGTAGGGAATTTGTTCTAGAGACCGCCTGAAAAACCCATTTAGTGTGGTGGTTCGGATGGTGCTCCAAGGAGAACCACCCCCTTCTTGTGGGACATCTCCTATAAAAGAAAAATCACGAGGGATGTTTCAGCGGGTCATTCCCTCATGAGGCACATGAGATGAAGACGCTGAGACACAATGATGATGGAGAGCTGATGGTTGCTGATGGGAATATTTGCATGACAGGGTCAAGTTTTTCCTATGTAGCAGTTGAATGAGGATGCAAACGACGCAACCCTCCGGCGTTGAGGGGGATGCAGAAAGAGGTTGGGACACATTGCAACCCAGAATGCCTGGGATAATTGAAGTGCAGTGACGGCAATGCTGCACGGGCATGGATGTCTAGAAAGCAAAGAGTGAACCCGGCCGGGCTGGAAATCGACGGGATCCAAGAGCTTGCATACTTGTCATCCGCAATCTAGCCAAGCCTCCGGTCAGTTCATATTGCTCAAACAGTCACTTCGTTCCAAATTGATCAGGGTGAACATACGGGTGTGTCTTCTTTTTCAGGTGGACCCCTCCAAAAAGGTGGGTGGTTCCTTTTGGTCTTCCCTTGAAACCCCGCCAGAGAACGGGGTACCAACCTCGTCAACCTCCCTTTTTGAGGGTAATTGCATGAACCACCACGCTAAACTGGTGTTTCTTTTTGTCGGGGATGTCCCAAATTTGTGGTTTTCCTTTTGGTTGTCATTCAAAACCTCGAGAAATTGTCCAAACCGCCCCAATTCAAAGGCTTCGTCAAAACCCAACGCGAGGCCGCAGTGGAAGGACTGCGAGAAGAATGCGCTCCTGGGCCTGCGGAAGCGAGCCTCGGCAAGAAGCACGAGGGGTCTCCCTCGTTGAAAGCCCAAGGAGGATGGGTTGAAAGATCTCTCTTTTTTTTTTTTTGTGTGTGTGTGTGTGTGTTTTTGCATTTGTTCTTTTGTCGTTGCTTTGGTTGTTCAAGATCAATCCTCGAAATCCTGCTTGGCCAGATTGTAGTGGGTTAGGTACCAGCACCCGCCAACACTTGCTTTTGGGACAGCACTTGGGGGTTGGACACGAGCAAACAACAGTGTGGTTTCTATTTGGCTGGGTGATTCAAATTCAACCTTCATCCCATGCCTGATGGTAGTGGTTTCCCTTGTAGTGCAATCCCTCCCATAAACCCAATCTTTGACATCATTGACATGGGGATTCCTTCCACCAACCACTTGGGAGGTGTGATGCCCACCAACATTCATAGTCATTGTCATGTGGGTAGGTCACAAACCCTGGGCTGGGCAAATTGTAGCGAGCTTCGCAAGCGCCGTTTGCGGCTTTCCTACTCCCAGATTCGCTTTTTTTGATTCCCCCATGTTTGAAATCGCGAAAGCGGATTGGACCCAAGACTTCCTTAAACATCACCTGGTTGACAGCTTCATGGACCAGGTTCCTTACCTCTGTGGAGGAACTAGAAACTTGATAGCTAGACAAGGTTCCTTCTTCTCAGTCAAGGCGGCCCGAAGCATAGAGCTGTCTGACTCAGGGCGCAGCCCACTGCATGTATATATACTTAGGTATCACTTAGTATTACTTGGTGGGTCTTTGGTGCATTGGAGAGAACGGGGAAAGGAGGCTACACGAATTCCCAAGTGGTTTGCAGCCAATGTTGACCCCATATGAATCAACCCCAGTTTATTAATAGGGGGTGTCCCTGGGTTTAGTGGGGAATCATCACTTTTGGAGGGGAACACCCCCCTATCAATAAACTGGGGTTGATTAATATGGGATATGGGGTCAACATTTCAATCCACTGCCTCAAGCCTCCCCGGGCGAATCAATTCGAGGCTTCAACCTGGCTGTGAACCTTCGGCCTTCCAAGGCACGGCAAGCTTCGGTCCTTTGGGTACCGCAGGTAAGCCTTAGTTGGCTTGGATTGGTGGTGGGACTTGAACCGAAATGGAACACCACCCCGAACACCTCCAAACCGGCAATCTAAACCACCCTTTTTCAGGGGAGTTGAGCTTTTAAACAGCGAACTCTTTACAATCTTTTGGTGTGAAGGGAACCTCTTTCGAGCCAACTACCCAAAAAAGAGTGCGCCTTGTTTGGCCCATGGAGAAAGGCACCATGAAGCCAAGGGTTTGGTTGGGAAAATCCCGTTGAATGTGTGTGTGTGTGTGTGTGTGTGTGCGTGTGTGGGTGCTAGGGCATCTTGAATTGTCGTGATGGTATCCGCCAGGTCTATCCCTTCCTGTCGCATCTTTGCCCGCTGAAGCCGTCCATCATAGGCGCCGCTTCACGCTGACGCAAGAGGCCCCTCATCAATGCTTTTTGTTTGCTTGTAGGCCGGCCTCCGTTACTTTGTGGGACGTGGAGGGCAACAAGGGGAAAGCAGTGTACTGAAGATATTTTTCAACACCCCCAAAAGTAAAGACCAGCAAAGACAATGGTCACAAGATTTGTTCAGGAACGCCACACCCCTTCAAGACTCTCCCGAGGTTGTGGGTGCTTACCGAGTGCCGAGCCACTTGCAGGCGCCGGGGTCGATATGATCATCATCCGCGAGCTGGTCGGAGGCAGGAGATGCTGCGACGTGTGTCTTTGAACTGGGGATCGATCGTTTTTTCCACATGGTCGGCCTTCTTCTAGGGAAACCAACTAGGGATACAGGGGGAACCAGGATACGGATGATTTTTCCGTTTGATGCACCTTGAGTTTGATCTGGGAAATGGCGCCAAGTGAATCCCCCCCATATCGGGACCCGCTCCCTCTGTATCCCCGCTTCGTTTGTCCAACTTGTTCGTTTGCCTCAAGAGGTCCCAACTCCTTTTGACCCCAAATCATCTCACGACTGGACTTGCTTGTGTTTCTGTGGTTTCCCTTTGAAACCCTGGAAAGGGCACCCTGAGCAGACATACCCAGATTCATCACAATTTGTTCCCTTTCTCCAGCGGTTTGGTTTTGCGCCACTCGAGGCATTTACTTCGGCGAGCACAAGAGAGACGGCGACAAGGCCAGGATCGAGCCGTCAACTGAAGAAACACATCAACTCCCATCCATTTGAAGCAAGGTAGTCGTTATGTTTAGCCCTTTTTAGGATTCCATGTTGGTTTGAAGGGGAGCGTGACCTCGCCCATCCGACTTTGAGTAATGCTCGTGCGAACATGTCCCGTTGATGCGCCATTGGTGAGCATGTGGCCAGAGCTGTTCGCCCTGAAGGCAGTTGCAGGTGGAGGAGAGCAACAGAGCAAGAGGTCTTCTGACTTCTGGCTGAGACTCAACGGGGAACACCCACAAAGTGATTAGTGAACATAAACGCCCATATAAATGCTTTCCGGCAAAGGGTCCCGAGTCATATGGCTGGTTTTCTGACATGCCATCCTATATATCCCCTTTTGGGTGCTTTGACTGCTTTAGCCATTGTTCGGATCCATTGTTTGATTTGCCTCGTCCTCCAAAAACAACAGGCTTCCATATCGATGGATTGTTGCCGTTGACAGTCGCGAATGCATTTTTCCCGTTCCTTTGATTGCCAGATGCTGAATTTGCAGTGGAGCACTTGCAATACTTGCACAGGCATTCGACGTGATGGAGTACACTGCTTGGCACTCAGCAAACGAGTGAAGCGGTTGCACGTCGAGGCGGGTGAGTCTCCCATGCCGGAAAAAGGAGATGGAGGATGTGTTGCGTTGGTTTTTGTTTAATGTTCAAATTATATGCTGCATGTACCACATCCCGAAGTCTGCACAAATCGGGTTTTGTGAGCTGTTTCTCCTCATTGGAGCAGCGGACATTCATTCTTGTTGTTGGCCTTCAGCATTTTCCACTGGCTTGTTGCGATGTGTACCAGCGGAACCGCGCCTAGCACTTTCTTTGGGTGGGTTAGAAGTGAAGCCCCTGCACAACATATTTTCTCCCTGGATGGTTTCCCTTGTCCCATCCACGCCAGATCGCGGAGACGAACTTCAGCAAGAGTCGTGCTTGAGCTTTGCAACACCTTTTTTCCCGTGTAGGTTTGTGTTTTTGTTGGGGCTCGGTACCCGTTTGGAGCGCCCGCTACATACAGTTCAGGGTCGAAAAATCGGGGTGGGCGAAAGGCAGGCTGACCTACCAATGGTCAACAGAAACCACAAACTGGCTCGACCTTCGGGTCGCTGAACTGAGGTGTCCTTTGGGCATGTCCATCAAGCTGGGTGAAGTTGAAATGATGGTAAGCGGCCAACACCTCTGGCGGCCACTTTAGATTTTTCTACTACCCGCTTTGACAGAAGACGTATAAAGCAACTAGTAAGTCTCCACTAAAAGCCGCAACCGTATGGAAACTGTATGCTTCCTGGTTTCATCGACTCCTTCTCGTGTTGTCTTTCTTTTTTCTTTTTCCGGTTTTTGGGCCATGCAAGAACTCACCGCTTTTCTGGCTTTTCTGGCAACAAAACCGGCCACCCCCTGGGCCGCCCACACGCGCCTCGCACGCCGAAACAAAAATAGAGCCTGCCCGCCGCCAACCCGCGAAACCGCGCCGGGCCAAACCGCGCCGGGCGAGGTGGAGGGCATCCGGAAGCCCATGATCTTCGCCTTCGAGGCGGCCAGGCTGCGGCGCAAGAAGGCGCGGCTTCGGCTCGAGAGACGGTTCTTGGGCGTCGGATGGTGATTGGCACAAAGGACCTGACATGACGTTTTTGGGTGTAGTCCTGAGACCAAAGGGTGAAGCTTGTATTTCTGGGTGCTTTTTGGCGTAGAAGCCTGATAAGAAAGGATGTTCGACTGGACATTGGTGAAAGACCCAGAAGAAGCAAGTTGATTTCCTCTGGAAGTTCGAGTAGATTGAAAGAACCACTCAAGGCAAGTTTTTGGGTGGTAAAAGAAGCAGGCCCAATGGATCGTGCCTCAGTTCGTTCTGTGGGCTGCCTTAGCTTCGCGAGACTTGGAGCGCCTGTGGTCCGCGTGTTGTGGTGTTGTTCCCGCCCTATGTTCCGATTCATCCGAGGGGGGGATCTAAGCTGTGAAAAGTGAGGGTTCCTCAGAATGGACCTCTTTTGGGGTGGTTGTTCAACGGAATCCAAAAGGAAGTAACCCAGTTCCTCCCATTTCAGGGGGTCTTCTTATTTTGAGAAGCACCCACGGGGTGTCGATGATCATCGGGGAGGTCACAGTTGTGGACAAGGCCAACGTGCTGGAGTGCTCCCGCTTGTGGCGCGAGGCGCGAAGGCTTGACTCATGTGAAGCACGCAGCTAGGGAACAGGGGCCATGATGTCGCGGGAATTCCTGTCTCGCAATGTCGGAAGGAGCAACGAACCCTTTTGAAGGAAGCTACTATGAAACCAAAAAGCAATTTGGACGCGGTGCCTTGCTTGACCAATTCCATTTGAAAGAATGTCCGATGTGCCATGTTCTGGCAGGTCGCGCGGGATGTTCACAAGAACTATCCCGACGTTGAGCTGGATTTCATGCGACTCGGCCGTCCAACACCGCGAGCGCGTCCTGATGGTTTGGGTAGCGCCACTCGACCAAGTCTTGCGCTAGGTGATAGGATGTACCCAGGACAAAGCCATTCATAGCTGATAACTTATACTGATAACTCGATAAATACTGTTCGCTGGTGGTGGTATTCAATGGTTTTCCAGTTGGGTTTCGTCCATCCCAACTGGCTGGTTGGAAGTAGACATTTTTGCCCACGTGTCACCCGAGGTACATAGACAACGCCTGCATGCAGGTCATCCAGAAGCCTTCCTTCTTTGACGTGGTCGCCACCGGGTCCGGGCCGAAGATGTGTTGAAATGGCCTTGAAGGCTGTATGTGCTAACTGGTGAGTAAGTCGAACCCGTACTTATATCAGATCCAATGATGTTTGCTTGGGGAGGTGTGATTTGAATGTTATCAGGATATCAAGTCAGCCCTCTAGATGCCTTGCAGTAGCCCAGCGAGGGATGTTGTACTGGTCTTCCACCTCCAAAAGGGTTGGGCATTGGAGACACGCCGAGTTTTGCTTTCGCATTCAGGCATCCTAACATTTCCCTCTTTGTAGCTTACACATCACTACTAATTTCATTTGATCTTCTCTTTGGTGGTTTTTCCAGGGGTTTATATAAAGGACACCTGTAAATCAAGTGCGAGAAGGTCCACAGGTATTCAAGGGCCGCCTTTGAAGGCCATTCCCATTGTCTCCTCCAGCAAAAGTGAAACCGATATGACGCACATTATATCACTAGCACACGTGTTGTCATAGACATCTTGTGGGGTTAGAGTCTGGGACAAGCCCACAGTTGGGTATGGGTCAGAATGAAGCCAGGTAGTGGACCGGAATGAACGTCAGGGCCCCGCAGGTTTACCCGGCAACCCATTTTGGGGTCCTATTTCTGACAGCCATTTGTGACTCGCGGCGAGGAACATGTTTGGCGACATCCTCTCTGATGCAGCGAGCGTTCTGCCTGGCTCGTTGGGCTTGATGCGCCTCGGCGTGCGACGGGCGGGGATGAGGAGAACAATTGGCACAACGCATATTATGTATACGAGGTCCCCCAGTGGTGCCCTTTCTCACCCTTTTTTGGGGAGGGTTCCCCTACTAAAATAGACTACAGAAAATAAATGGTACCCTTATTCTAGCCTCTCTACTGGAGGACCTAGTATGTATATGGCTGTGGGTCAAAATAGGTACCCAAAATGGAACCCTGGTAAATGGAACCAAGGACTAAAACCTGCGGTCTGGTGGTGGCTTCATTTTGACCCATACCCATATATATGAGCCACGGACAAAACATACGAAGACCACTTTATCAAGGCGGGGTACGTTTTTGCATAACACATGCCAAAACCATGGAAAACGATAAGGTCTCCCCCAAAAACGATAACCCTTAGCTAACACACGGCTCTATAATAACCCCTGCAGTTGCAACTTAGTTAGGGTGGGACCCTTGCGAGGCCACCGTAAAACGAGAAGGCGAGTCGCCGAGCTGGAGCTGCCAAGGTGTGCTTCGTAAATACGACACTTGTACTGAGAAGTTGCGATTTTCGAGCTGGAGCTGCGGAAGTGTAGTTCGCGTACTAGACTTGCACGACAAAGTTGCAATTTTCGAGCTGGAGATGCGGAAGTGTACTTCGCGTACTAGACTTGTATTACACAGTTGCGATTTTCGAGCTGAGCTGCGGAAGTGTACTTCGCGTACTAGACTTGTACTACAAAGTTGCGATTTTCGAGCTGGAGATGCGGAAGTGTACTTCGCGTACTAGACTTGTACTACAAAGTTGCGATTTTCGAGCTGAAGCTACGGAAGTGTGCTTCGCGTACTCGACTTGTACTACAAAGTTGCGATTTTCGATCTGGAGCTGCGGAAGTGTACTTCGCGTACTAGGCTTGTACTACAAAGTTGCGATTTTCGAGCTGGAGCTGCAGAAGTGTACTTTGCGTACTAAAGTTGTGCTACAAAGTTGCGATTTTCGAGCTGGAGATGCGAAAGTGTACTTCGCGTACTAGACTTGTACTACAAAGTTGCGATTTTTGAGCTGGAGCTGCGGAAGTGTACTTCGCGTGCTAGACTTGTAATACAAAGTTGCGGTTTTCGAGCTGGAGCTGCGGAAGTGTACTTCGCGTACTAGACTTGTACTACAAAGTTGCGATTTTCGAGCTGGAGCTGCGGTTGCGACTTTCGAGCTGGAGATGCGGAAGTGCACTTCGCGTACTAGGCTTGTATTACACAGTTGCGATTTTCGAGCTGGGGATGCGGAAGTGTACTTCGCGTACTAGACTTGTACTACAAAGTTGCGATTTTCGAGCTGGAGCTGCGGAAGTGTACTTCGCGTACTAGACGTCAACTACAAAGTTGCGATTTTCGAGCTGGAGCTGCGGAAGTGTACTTCGTGTACTAGACTTGTACTACAAAGTTGCGATTTTCGAGCTGGAGCTGCGGAAGTGTACTTCGCGTACAAGACTTGTACTACAAAATTGCGATTTTCGATCTGGAGCTGCGGAAGTGTACTTCGTGTACTAGACTTGTACTACAAAGTTGCGATTTTCGAGCTGGAGCTACGGAAGTGTGCTTCGTGTACTAGACTTGTACTACAAAGTTGCGATTTTCGAGCTGGAGCTGCGGAAGTGTACTTCGAGTACTGGACTTGTACTACAAAGTTGCGATTTTCGAGCTGGAGCTGTGGAAGTGTACTTCGCGTACTAGACTTGTGCTACAAAGTTGCGATTTTCGAGCTGGAGCTGTGGAAGTGTACTTCGCGTACTAGACTTGAACTACACGAGTTGCGATTTTCGATCTCTAGACTTGTACTACAAAGTTGCGATTTTCGAGCTGGAGCTGCGGAAGTGTACTTTGCGTACTAGAGTTGTACTACAAAGTTGCGATTTTCGAGCTGGAGCTGTGGAAGTGTACTTCGCGTATTAGACTTGTACTACAAAGTTGCGATTTTCGAGCTGGAGCTGCGGAAGTGTACTTCGCGTACTAGACTTGTAGTACAAAGTTGCGATTTTCGATCTGGAGCTGCGGAAGTGTACTTCGCGTACTAGACTTGTGCTTACAAAGTTGCGATTTTCGAGCTGGAGCTGCGGAAGTGTACTTCGTGTACTAGACTTGTACTACAAAGTTGCGATTTTCGAGCTGGAGCTGCGGAAGTGTACTTCGCGTACAAGACTTGTACTACAAAATTGCGATTTTCGATCTGGAGCTGCGGAAGTGTACTTCGCGTACTAGACTTGTACTACAAAGTTGCGATTTTCGAGCTGGAGCTACGGAAGTGTGCTTCGTGTACTAGACTTGTACTACAAAGTTGCGATTTTCGATCTGGAGCTGCGGAAGTGTACTTCGAGTACTAGACTTGTGCTACAAAGTTGCGATTTTCGAGCTGGAGCTGTGGAAGTGTACTTCGCGTACTAGACTTGCACTACAAAGTTCCGATTTTCGAGCTGGAGCTGCGGAAGTGTGCTTCGCGTATTCGACTTGTACGACAAAGTTGCGATTTTCGAGCTGGAGATGCGGAAGTGTACTTCGCGTACTAGACTTGTACTACAAAGTTGCGACTTTCGAGCCGGATCTGCTAAAGTTGGAAAGCACTGTAAAACGATAAGGTCTCCCCCAAAAACGATAACGTTCAAAAAAGTACTAGGGCCAAGTAATGTTTCGTTCGCTCCTCATATATATATATACATTGTTTGTACACAGTATAAATGGTCTCCTCCCCCCACCATGGTATCTTCCCCCCAGAGCCCCCACCCCCCAGCCCCCGCCCCCAGAGCCCCCTTGCACTTTTGGGTGGGTCGACCCCCTGGACCGCTGTGTCGCTTCGGGCTCGCTCAGCACTTTTTGGATATGTCCATTCCCTGCGCTCACATTTTTTCATGCGTGCGTATTATTATTTTGTCTTTTGTCAGAGAGCTAGCTTTCAATCAGTATCCGTACCACGGCAGTTCCTTCTTAATTTCCTTTCATATATATATATACGTATGTAGATGCACCAATGCATATGTGGATCTATGGAGGTATGTACAGCTATACACAATATATCATGAAAGACTCTGACTAGGCCCAAGGCAGCACATCGTCGCCACCCACTTTAGAGGGATCTCTGGCGAGTTGCCGCCGCCCTTTTGAGAACGGAGGCCCTCGGCGTCGCTGGGTGACGGCCTTCACATGTACGAGCCCAGCGGCGGCAGCGCGCCGGACATCGCAGGCCTTCTGGGACCTGCGGAAAGGTCTGTTGAAAGGAAACTGCTCCAGGTTTTAGGCTTGTTTCATGCCCCCATGGCACATGTTTCGGAATCTACTTTGCAGACACTTGTTCCCGAATTGGATGCCAAAATGGTTGGTTGTGCACCGAAGATCCTCCCAAAAAGTTCTCCCAGAACAGGCCAGGATGTTGGTGAGGACGGTTAATCCGCCCGGGCCGCACCCTCCGACTCCTGGCCCGCAGGCAAGAACATGGCCAACCCCATCGCTCAGATCCTGAGCGGCGCTATGATGCTGAGGCCAGAGTTTCGCGTGCGTGTGGACGAAATCCACGCCGATCGGCACTCAGTTGTGAGGCAGGTTGGCCCCAATATTCATTCATACCATCCTGCGGATATTGCAGAAGTTCGTCCATCCACAGAGTGACGGGCATCTCAACATTCTTCCATGAACATGAAAGATGACTCGGTTTTACAGTTGCCGCACAACCCTATTATGAAAGCCTTCTATCACCCCAACAATGAGGGTCCAAGCAGGCCCCAACAGCGTCAGACATGTGTTCACTTCCTGTCCCTTGGATCTGCAACCAACTTGAGTATATCACCAGCATCATCATCATCATCATCATCATCGTCATCATCATCATCATCATCATCATCATCATCATCATCATCATCATCATCATCATCATCATCATCATCATCATCATGGAAACTGGGGGTAAGTGGGGTGTAACTGAAGCATGTCACCATGGTAGCTGGGGGTAATTTGATATTTTTGTTCCCTTACCGTGTTTACACAACCTACGTGGCGAACACCGCGACGCAGGTATTCCTTTCAGCTGGAGAAGGAGGCCGCTGCCATTGAGGCGGCCTGCGAGACAGTGATGAGGCCGGATGTGCTTGGCATGATGCCAAAGGGACACTAAAGGGAACCCGCCACTTTTGGTTCTTCCAAGAGACTCCGAGGGCAACATGGGTATGTGTCAGACTTGGGACCCTTTTGGTTTGTAGGACACCAATATGAACCCATGGAGATCCATGTCCGACAAGTCCAACCCAGATTTCCCGATTTCGCGCCGTGGGAACACAGGACGGCCTGGTTGCAGGCCTGTTTACGGCAAAGATATTTTTTTTGGGTGGGATTCCTCAGCCGCGCTGCCAATCTTCGTTACAGGGTGAAGGGATCCGAAGGCTTGCAGGGTGCTCGGAAAGCCCAACGGCGCCAAAACCGCAAAAACACCTTTCTTGGGGTCTGCCTTTTTCAGGAGCCCGGTCCACGGCTTTTTCAACGGCAAGCTCATAATGGGAAGAGGGCATCACTGTCAAAATGATAGCTAACACGTGGGATAGTCCCCAGCTTTAGCGCATAGCCAGTATTTTTGCTTTGCCCTGTTGATTGTGGTTGACCGAACTCTTCCAAAGGGGCAGGATCACTCAAGTACGCCCTGCGAGCTGTTTTGACTCGTTGACCGACTCACGCTGTTTCTCACAGCACTTGTTGCTTTGCGTGTAGTTCCCATTGGCCATGCACAGTGTCTCTTTCTGACACGGCCCCCTTTTGGTTTGCAGGGAGATAACCAGGAATCTGTCCGGGATCGCCATTTCTTTGCAACCAACTCCTTCCAAAACTGCCATTTGCTGAAACGAATATGCTTTTTATCTTCCCTTTTCGTTTTAGAGGGAATCGATTCACTACTAGACACACTTTCTCATTTGTCCAGGGACCGCAAAACTCAAATGGAAGGAAAAGGAGAAGGAATGGCTTGGGAACAATCCCCTGTTCCCTTCCCTCGCACCATCGGTTTCCCCTTGATATGTGGTTGCCAAGGACAACAGGTTCCTGAATCCCAAGAGCTCCTACAAAAGGATTATGATGGCACCTTCATGTCGGTCCATCTTGCACAGAAGAATGAATGTAGAATCCAGGCTTCTTACTCATTCACCTGTCATCTCTTGATCTCTTCAGGGCTCCTTAAAAGATCTCCATTTTGCCACCATTTGAAACATGGCTGGCTTTTTCAACACCGAAATAAAGGTAAACCAGCAAATTTACCAGTTGCAATGCTCAGGTGTATAATGCATCCGGATCCATCCAAGCTCCTTCTCCAAGCCGCTGGCTCCTGGTTCCCGATGCCCGAAGCCGAGGTCGGGCAAGCTGACAGGAGACCTTCTGGAGGAAGACAAGCGCAGCAGCGCGGTCTCCACCAGCGACATAGGCGCCGATTGGGTGAAGATCGATGCGCGTGAGCCGCGAACAAAAGCTTGGGTACGAGGGAGGTTAGGGGCCCATTTGCTTACTCCCTGAGTTCATGTTGACTTTAGTATCACTTGTTGGTTGCCATTTTAGTAGCAAACAACAGTTTGGTTGCTGTTTCTGGCAAGTCCACTCAGGAACAGTTTGTTTGATGCTCACAACATATTTTGCTGCGCAACTCCAAGCGGTGATCCAAGCTCCCTCAAAAACGGAGACACCCCCTAAGCAGGGGTTTGTCAATGCTGGGGCAAGAATTGTCAGTCGATGTTCAATAAATTCTTGGCTGCCTGCTTTATGGATACCCCTCCCGCGTAACAGCAAAGCCTTTCGGGATCCTGGGTGATTTTGATTGGGGGGTGTCCCCTACATGGATCACTTCTTTGGCCTCTGGCACAGTTGGCTCAGATCCTCGCGCCACAACCCGCCCCGCCGGAAACCGAATGATGGAGCCCAAAGCCGCGAAGAGGGAGGATGGCTTGCAGGACTGACATGGCCGGTTGAGGGTTCAAGGGGCTGGTAGTGCCTAGCTGGATGGACCCAGGTGCGAATCAGGAATTTGTTACGGGAACTCGGAAGTATGGAGTTGAATCCAACTAAGAAGAACGCCTCCAGAAGGGTTGGGTTTTTTGGTTTTGATTGAAATCCCTAAACTCAAAGCTTTCTTCTGGTTTTGATTGAAATCCCTCAGCTCAAGTCTGTCTTCTGGTTTTCTTTGAAATCCCTCAGCTCAAAGCTTTCTTCTTTGTTTTCTTTGAAATCCCTATACTCAAAGCTTTCGTCTGGTTTTGTTTAAAACCCCTCAGCTCAAGTCTGTCTTCTGGTTTTCTTTGAAATCCCTCAGCTCAAATCTGTCTTCTGGTTTTGATTGAAATCCCTCAGCTTAAGTCTGTCTTCTGTTTTCTTTGAAATCCCTCAACTCAAGTCTGTCTTTTGGCTTTTCTTTGAAAACCCTCAGCTCAAGTCTGTCTTCTGGTTTTCTTTGAAATCCCTAATTTTCAAGTCTGTCTTCTGTTTTCTTTGAAATTCCTAATTTTCAAGTCTGTCTTCTGTTTTCTTTGAAAACCCTAAGCTCAAGTCTGTCTTCTGGTTTTCTTTGAAATCCCTCAGCTCAAGTCTGTCCTCTGGTTTTCTTTGAAATCCCTAATTTTCAAGTCTGTCTTCTGTTTTCTTTGAAATCCCTCAACTCAAGTATTTCTTCTGGTTTTCTTTGAAATCCCTCAGCTCAAGTCTGTCTTCTGGTTTTCTTTGAAATCCCGAATTTTCAAGTCTGTCTTCTTTTTTTTGTGGAAATCCCTCAGCTCAAGTCTGTCTTCTGGTTTTCTTTGAAGTCCCTCAGCTCAAGTGTGTCTTCTGGTTTTCTTTGAAATCCCTAATTTTCAAATCTGTCTTCTGTTTTCGTGGAAATCCCTCAGCTCAAGTCTGTCTTCTGGTTTTCTTTGAAATCCCTCAGCTCATGTCTGTCTTCTTGTTTTCTTTCAATCCCCTGAACTCAAGTTGCCATCCGAACAAAGCGGCAACTTGAGAACTTTTCATCTTGAAGCCGCACGGCAGGACCCGGAGAAAGCAACAGATGTCGAGGAGTCCAAAGGCTCTCCGGCGAATGACGCCAACCGATCTTCCCTCTTGGCAGCTGAGTTGCAACCATGGAATTGGAGTATTCAGCGGGTGTTCGTGTTCCGGCGGCCTTTTTTTATTTTCAGAACTTGGGCTTGAGACTGGTTAAAACAAACACTTCCCTTTTTTGCTTACAGAAAGAGGAGCGCTAGTTCTCGAGCCTTCGGTTTTTTGAGTGCAACCTTTTGCGGATGGGAGGAGCAGTAAGGGCTCGGCCCGCTCGGGCTGGGCTGCGCTCTTGAGGCACTGGTGGCCAGACGGCAGCAAGAGGTTCAGACCAGCCAGCATGAGTGGTGGACCTATCGCTTCGCGCACGCTGCCTAGCTGAAAAACCAGCGGGTGAGAGACTGCCTGGGCACATGTTTTGGGTAGATGGCTGTGGGTCAAAACCAATGGTACCATGTCGGGGTAGGTGCACCACCCATTTTAGTCTATTTTAGTGGCGATTGGGATGTTCACTTGGGGTACGGGATTTTGACCCATGGCCAGATCTGTGTTGGCAGATATGTGCTGGGAATCTTTTGTTGGGCGGACTTTTGAGCAGATACTTTTTTGCAAGACATGTTCTGGTACGGGAGGTGCAGTTTGGGCAACTTTGGGATACTTTCTGGCAAGATATGTTTCGATAAGACACAATTTGGACAGATGCTTTTTGGTCGACAAAACACGTTCGGAGAAGATACTTGTCAGAAAGTTGCTTTGAGGGTGGATTCTTTTTGGGTGGACACTTTTCGGTAGGACACTTGCTAGCAAATGCATTTTAGGAAGATACTGTTCGGAAGTTCGGATGATGCCTTTTTGGAAAGATCGTTTGGAGGGAAGCTGCCAGATCAGACTTTTGCCTGCACCTACTCATTTTGCGCTGAAGTGCCATGAGAAAATAATTTCTATGCGGGTGAGTCTTGAATATAAAACCTCTTGTTGTTGTGCCCATACCATTTCTTGTTGTTGGAAGTAACCGATACTGTCCCAAAATGGTATCATCCAAAAGGCAGCGTGGATGTGTTTGATGGCTTTACAGGGCCCTGCAAATATCGTGGCCAGACTTAGCCAAGAGCTGGCTGGATGTTTGAGCATCTTTCAAGGTAGACCTATTTGCAGCCACTTAGTAGCAAACAGGGTGTCGACCAAAAAAGCCCCTTTGCCCTGTCGGTTTTCGGTGGGACACATGCGTCTGTCGGATCTTGAGGGGTACACGTTGTTTTTTGGGGAGTGGTTTTAAAGAGAATTCAAAGGGGGACACAACTTTTAGGCATCTCCTATGGGAATAACTCATAAACCATGTGTATGCCTTGTTCAAAGAGGGTATTCCATTTCAAGCCAAGGTTGTCGCATGGGTTGTGCAGATTCTCTTCACACTCGCCACCCTCTTGCTGCTTGCGCTGTGGGCAAGGCACGAGCACGAAGAAGCCTTCGTGGTCACTCCACTGGTGTTGGCGAAATGTGTTGTTTTGTATTGTTGTTCGTTTGTTTCCTGCTTGCTGTTGTCTTGAAATCCAGTTCTTTTGTTGTTGCCAAGTCAATCCTGGCTGCTTTTGTCAGGTAATCCTTGATTTGTGATTTGGATTGCTGGTTTTTATTTGGAGTTGAACCCCTTTACCTTCTTGTGGAGGGTTTTTTTGGGGTTACCCAGCCCGAACCACAGAAAAACACTCCAAACCCACCAACTAGAAAAGCAGCTCCAGATCCACTCCAAAGCACAGGAAACCACCCCAACCTCGGGTTTGCCCGAACCACAGAAAAAAATCCCAAGGGTTTTTTGGGTTAACATACCCCGAAAAAAAGAAGAAACACCAACACCCCAAACCACCGATGAGTGGGATGGGGTTACCCACCCCGAACCACAGAACCATCCACCCAAACCACCGATGAGTGGGAGTTTGATGTTGGGCCGAGGTGACCTTCTTCGTGATGGCCATCGCGGCGGCGGCGTATTTGGCGAAGGTCACGGGCATGGGCGAGGCGACCATCGCGGGGAGGAAGGTCCCCATCATCCGCGACCCAGCCAAACAGGGGTGCAGAGAAAGACGGCTCCTTAAAAGATGCATTTTGCCACCATTTGAAACATGTTGCTTTTTCAACACCAAAATAAAGGGAACCCTCCATTTACAAGACAATGTTCAGGTGTATAATGTAAGGATCCCTGAGAAACTAGGTCCCCCAGGATCGTGCCCTTTCTCACCCCTTTTTTGGTTGGGAGGGTTCCCCCACGAAAGCAGACTACAGAAAAAAGGGTACCCTTATTCTAACCTCTCTACTGGAGGACCCAGGAAAGATGGCATTTTTTTTGGCACCTCAAAAGTGGTTGGTGGACATGAACCCCCACCTTAATGATGTCCACCAAAAGGGTCCTTGAGATTCAAGCCCAAATCGTCTTTTTAGACAATCCCATTTTCTGTGGCCAAGGGAATCTTCCGATGAATTCAAAGGCGGATTGATCCGACAGGAGCCAACATACAAGTCGTCGCTTTTCCGTCTTTTTGGTTTTTAAGCCAAGAGGCACGGTTCGGGACCATGTCAAAGGTTTCTGGGGAATGGCTGACTTACTAGAAAGTGTGTCCTCATCTCTGCTTGTCCGTGGTCTCTACTTGTTTGAAGCAATCAGCCTCCGGCATCTGTTTGGTTGCATGAAGGGTGTTTCGATAACTTGGTGCGCTCATGTTTTTTTCAGCGAAGCCAAGCTAAGCATTGGAGCCACAGCGGTGAAGGCCGGCTTGGTGTTGCAACTTCGGATGTGAGTAAAAGATAGGCCCATGGTAGGCGGCAGGTTTGGGGGAAGACCTATTTATGAACCGCCAGGACCTTAGAATCAAAGGCTGATTGTGTGGACCCATAGAACGTTGACCGCCGTTGGTGCCTGATTTCCAACAAATAAGCTGGAGGTAGTCTTCAATTAGACCAAGCTATACATCTTCGATATATACATAAAGTTTCATATTCATACATATGACGTGATGAATATCTCATGTATATATGTGTATCTATAAACGAGTGGTTCATAATCAGGGCTGCATTTGGTTTCGGTACAAGCCCAACTCAGGCTACATCGACTGGATCGCCACAACTCCACTGATGCTTTTCGAGCTTTGCATGATTGGCGGGGCTGAGAAGCACACAACTATCCTCATCATCGGCTGCGATCTGATGATGCTCACCGGTGGCATTGTCAGCGCTATGGTTGCTCAGTTGGAAAGGGCCATGCGCGGACTTTGAGGTGCTTCCTTGTTTCACTTTAATATGATTTTCCTTTGGCCGCTCTTTTGAGTGAGCTCGCTTTTTACTCAAGTAGTTTTTGTGGGAAGCACACCACAGTTGCGTTTTGCGCAAATACTAAGTATCTATATAAACCGGTGCTGCACGCCAAAGACCACTCCAGGTTGTTCCGAAGGCAAAGGTCGGGCTGAAGAATGTGTGGTTTTGCGTATCCATCGTATTCTACTCCATCATGATCGTGGCCTTGAACGTGGCTGCTTTGCTGAATTGAACCGCACACTTGGTCTTTGCCGGGCTGTCTCAGACCTTGTCAGCAAGGCCAAACGGTCTGCCAGAGCCTTCAGTTCAGTACAATGAATATGGGGTCTTGTTTTGGAGTACCCCTTTTTTGGGTCATTCTACAGGAGAAACAAAAGAGAAACCACCCCCAGGTCTCCTAATTTGAGACAGACCCAAATGCATGTACACTTGCCTCAAAATGTACTCAGCATTCATAGGAGTAGTGTCCCACATGCCTTCTTTCAGGACCCGTTTTCCCGGAAAACCGCCCAACGTCCAGGAAACGGCTGGTTTTTTGAAAGCACAGTTAAAAGGAATGAGATTTGACCCGGATTTATGCCATGTTTCCACCTTGTGCAAATTATAGCGAGCTGACCCATGATGAAGGTCCCTCACTCGGGGATTCCTGGTGTCCGGCTTGTTGATTTCTACTTTGCCCTGACGTCTGCCATGGTTTTCACGGAGCGGCTTGCCCCAACCACAGCCTCCGAAATCCCCAGGAACACCGCTCCTGCCTGTTTCAGCCATGCGGTTTGGTCAATTGGCTGGGCTTGTCTCAAGATATTCGGTTTCCCACAAAGGCGATCGGTTTCCGGTGGGCCTCCCTTTGAAGGTTGCCCCAGGAATAGTAAGCCCGCCCCATTCTTGGGGGGGGGTTCCCTCCAAAAGTGGTCGGAATCCCCCACTAAAAGGGGACACCCCCCGAGGAAAATCGACCAGGGGGTTCTTCATCCGGGGTTAACATGAAAGCCTCAAAAATAAGCTCGGGTGATATCCCCAACAGCATGCGGTGCTCTTTTTAGTGCTTGCACCACCCCGCAGCCCTCGTAGAACCTCGTGGAACCCTGGTGGAACCCTGGTGGAACTCTGGTGGAACCTCACCTCAGGGCCGCCCCGGACCACCCCGGAGCCGAGACCCCAAAGCTTTCAGCTGTTGGGGAAAAAATATACCCCACCAAAAAAGGCCACCGGATTCCGGTGGGCTTCCCGTTTAAAGCCAACCCCAACTCAGGACGTGGCACAAGGCTCGGCCTTGTCGCGGCCTTTGGACGTGCAGCGCCTCTTCTCCCAACTCCAGTGGCTTACGGCGCCTGAGCTACCACCGGAGTCCATCTGTCGTTTCTTTTTTGCTTTCGCCGGGTACGCTGAAGTCTAACCCCAGTTGCGCAGTGGTGCCCTTTTTTCTGCTTTTTGTCTTGGGGAAGGGTTCCCCTTCGAAGTCAACCAACCAGAAAAAAGGGATGGCCTTTTGTTCCCCTGGCCACTGGGCATCTGAGTAACCTGAATGGTGGTGGTCCTTTGGGCTTCCCTTCAAACCAACCTAACGGGCCAGTTTTTGTGGCACGGGTTTCCCGACAGCTCAAACCGACCAATGAAAAGTCAACTTCAGCTTCTTTTCTGTGAGAAGGGGGTTCCCTTGTTTTGAACCAAATCCAATACTTGGCGGTTCCCAGCGGTCCCCATTGGTTTTGTAGTTGCTTCTCGTTGTGGGTTTCAGCCCAAACGCCAGGCCGCGGCTCGAAGCCCCGAAGAAACTTTTGGCCGCAGGTGGTCTCCTGGACGGGGTATCCCATCGTGGTGCTGCTGGGCCGCGCGCATGCGGGGCTCATCTCCAAGGGCATGGAGGACTGCCGGATGCCCTGCGTGTCTCTGGGGCTGCGTCTCTTGCCGTGTCTCCGTTCCACTGAGAGATCCGGGTTGAAAAATGAAAAAATGAAATGAAAAATGAAAAATTGTTTGGATCCTTGGGGTGAAACATGAAATGAAAAAGAACGCTCCGTTTGGATTCTTTGGGATGCGAGGCGGAAATCGAGTTCCCGCGGCATGAATTCCATAGGCGCCGTGCTCACCCGGTGTGTGCAAGTGATGCTTGCGCAGGGGGTGTTCACTTTGGTGAATTGGTCGCATCGCTGGACTCCCAAACTGGCGGCCGTTTTTCTTTGATTTGAGCCAATGAAGAACTAACCTGAAACCGGGTACCAAGCCTCAACAGACGCAAGTGGAGACGTTCGTATATTGGATTCCTGCTTGTGGGTGCCCTCTTGGGCTAGTTTGGTCTTTGCTTATCATTACTATGGTAAACACCATGAGCACCCAAGTGGGACCCAACGGGCCGGGGTCCCCGTCTTTCCCCTTGTAGTTGAACTCCTGTTCTAAAGAGGACGCCTTGCTCTGCATCTTGGACTGCATCTCCAAGCTGGGCATGGAGGGCTTCGTGATTGCCACCTGCTCCGCGGATGGTGCCCAATGCCATGTCAAGTCGACCACATCCTACGGATATGGATCTTAGGCGGCGGCGAAATGGGTTTCAACCAGACCCTCTCGTGTCTCCGAAAAGGGATGCCAGAGGGGGGGTTGTTTCTCTAAAAGGAGGGAAGAGCAAAGGTTCTTGAACACTAGTGGTTTAAGCTGGTTTGACTTGCTGGTGCGATAGGTAGGCAATGACCCAAAAAGTTGGGAAAGAACCTAGAAATTCCCTTGAAGCAAGCCACAAGGGATGGTTTGATTCTCAAATTCCCTGCTGAGCACCAGCAAGAATTGGTTTGACCAAGGTGGGCAACCCTGATAGGCCTATTTATGGCTCACGCGCAGGACCACGTGCCGACAGCGCAACACCCAAAGGTGCCAGCAAGTTGCTACGCGCTCTCGAACATTTTTCGCTCTTATCATTTCTACAACTCCGCTTTTCAAGCCAATGGGGAATTGTCGAGTTCTCACGCTCGATTTTTCATGATCTTCCTGCTGGTGCCACTACGACGACCCACATGTCTAGTGTGCTGACCGCAACCTTTGGCTCGAGCACCCCTGAAGGGGGCGCTCAGGAAGCCAAAAGCTTTTCAGCGTCATGTCGGCATGATCGCCGTGGTGTCCAGGTTTGACTCAGTTTTATTGAGGCTTGGAATGGCCACCTGGAAATTTGTTGCCCTGGCGAAGATTTTGAGATCTTTCAAGCCCAGAGCCGAACTGAAGACGGAGGCGAGTATTTCGAACAGCGCGGCGGTCCGTTTTTTTTCTTCTTTTCTTTTGGGCGGCCGAACAGGAAACCACAAAGAAGCCGCCCTTCGTGGCTGTTCGACGCCTACCATTCCATTCCGGCCGTTGAGCCTTGACCAGCGGGGCAATTCCCATTTCCGGTTGTTTGGGGGGTTGGAGGCCCAAACTTGACTACCAAAGGGTGCCCTTTTTCTCATGATCAGGACGATGTCCACATGCTCCTGCCAACTGCTGTTTTTGGGCGTGGCCTAGGGAGCATTCCGTTTAGACTTGGTTCAAGCGTGCTGCACTTTTGGCAAACCGGAACATAAGAAAAGACAACTCGTCAGCAAGTCACAAGGGACCAGGGCATCAGGAAGCGCCACGATGGTGCGCAACCCCAATGTTGCGCATTTCACCAAAGAGTTGCGGGTGATCTCCCAACATGTTTGCTTTGTTTCAGACACTCCCGAAAGTCAGCAACAGGCCGGGGTAATCAGCTCCTTCCAGGACCCCCCCCAGGAGGTTTTCGAAGCCGCGTATATAACCCTGCCAGGCTTCAGGGAGATCAACTCATGTTGGTGCGCGTCCCCTGAGCTCTAGGGGGCCATGGCTACCTTCATAGGTGCATCATTCCCACGATTTGTATTTTAGGGGCCCTGTTTAGAGTTTACTTGAAGGGAAGCACTATGACGATTCCAGGGGTCCAAGTCTTTTTTTTGGCAAATGCCGGCGTGGTTCGAAGGCCGGCCTTGTGCGTAAGATATGAGGTTTTCTCTGCATATTGGAGTAGCAACCTGGGATATCCAAATTCTGTAATGTGTATGTTTGAGAGTACTCTAATTGAAGCAGCCTCTATCTGCCCTACTTTGCAACAACATCATGTCTACATGAGCGCACCTTCACAGAGACCAATTACTCTTTAGATATGCGTGAAGGTGTGCAAGTCACAGGCCCCATCTTTCCCAGAAGCCTCTTCGCTCCTAGTGAGGAGGGCCTATGGCAGGGTGAGGCAATTTGCTCAAACCCGGACACCTGACCCTCAGCAAAAGGGAAGCCTAGAGTGTGGGTGTGTGCGCGCGTCAAACCAGGCGCGTGCAGTTAGGAGATGTGGGTGTTCTCAACATTTTGCCACTTTTGGCTGTCAAAGAGAAACCCACCAGTTGCAGGAGTCCCCTTGGTTGGCAAAACCCAATCGGTGTTATTTATTTTTCTGCCGTACCCTTTTCGGTTTGTTTGGGGAAAAAGCGAGGCTCGGGCAAACACATCTACGCACAACGATACCCCCGAAGTGAGGCCCAGACGGCTGTTCATGTTTGTTTGCTGGGGCAAGGATATCAGCTGGTCAGAATTGGAGGAGGGTCCATGCCCTATTTGGAGACAACCCTGATAGATCTTGTCCAGGCGACGCGGTGATCGCTGCGCTGAAGTGATAGGCGCCCTGGAAATGAGGGGACAAGCTGATTTGCAAGTTGGTGGGGTTAAAGTGGCCTAACCCAGCTATATATATATATACACATATGTATTGCATACACCTGTATGTACTAAAAGCATACAGTAATACTTAGACAGAGTCGGGCATATCGAAATGCGGGATCCACCTCTTCATTGATTTAGAGCCATGGCAGCCTTCAGTGCCGATTAAGGATTGTTCGAGGCTAAGGACCATTGGATGGTGATGACCATGTCTCCCGTTATTTCTTTTTGAACCAGTGCTTATCTTCTGAAGGGGTTTGTGCACTTTTTGCTGGGCGGGTAGCTTTGTCATGATCCCCGTCGCGGCACCACCAAGCAAACATGTGCGGGCCAAGTTGTAAGACGCTTCGGGGAGTCAAGAGTCGAGTCTGTGGGCCCTAGGGATGCTGGGCTTAAGCCTTCCGAGTGCGACCGGTCTCGTGTCACTCGATTTCGAGTGGCCAGCCATGATATAAGTGCTATGGGCCGCTTTGCTTTTCTGGGAGAGAAGGCTTGCGCCAGTGCATTGCCCGGATTACACGTGCTTCATGGGAGCAATAGTTCCTTGACTGAGGGGCAGGGCCAATAGTTTGGGTTTGGATTCCGTTTTGTAGTGCTTGTTAGCACGTGGGCAGCTATTGTTGGTGGGTTGGCAAAATACCGCACGTAAAACAACTAAATTTTAAGGTTTTCAACTTGTTCCCTATGGGTGTTTGTTTTTTGATGGTACTTTTTGATTGGTGGCTTTTTCACGGGAAGCCAGTTGGACAACTGCCATTTTAGGGGGCCCCCTATTTCAACCCAGACACGCACACGCACACCGTCAGGAAACTGGGTTTCGCGCTCCCCTTTTGGCCACTTCACGCATCGTCTTGGGAACTGTGATGAGGCCGCAAAGGAAGCCACCTTTTGCGAGGTTGTGAATTACCCAGACGTAACATGCGTTGCGTCAGCATGAATTCATCTACCTCCGGAAACACAGAGGCTGTTGGCTTCTTCCGACGCTTTTTTTCTCAACGAGTTTGGCCTCAAGAACATGCGATGGGCCGAAGGCATATTTCCCAAGGGAGTGTATTCGATTCAGTTCGCCCTTGCTGCCTTCCAAAGGCCATTTGGACGGGAACCATGAAATTGGTGCTCAATATATAACTCCGCGCTCAGCTCATATTTCTCCTTCGCCTGTGAGAGGCGTGGAAACAAGCTCCAAACTTCAGGTGTGTATTTCCTTGTGCGCAATCCAAACGGGCTTCAGGCCGTTTAGCCCGGCATCTTTCATATTCCTCCTCTTGCGCGTGTCCGAGTTTGGCATGGGGGCAGGCCACCAATCTCGCAAGAATTGGTTGGAGAGCCGGATCCCGTTTTCTGACCCTTTGCAGGCCTTCCATGGGCAAGCTGCGAGGTGCGCAGTGTTGGCATCGAAGAGACGCAGTGAAGGAGTCCAAGTCCAAGCCAGTTTAACGCGCGAGTTGGGTAAACCAGTCCCTTGGCCCTGGCTTCTTGGCTCAGCTACACGTTGCGGAGCGGCGGCGCGCTCCAAGAAGGTTCTTTGATCAAAAACCCCGTGAGGCGTCACACCGGCGGCTCGATGTTCCGGCGGGCGCCAAAACAAGACGCGCGGGTGCCGCGCGGGTGCCGCGCGGTGCCGGGGCTTGCTGCGGCTTTTCTCTCACTGAGCGAAAATCAGCCAGGGTTTTATGGGCATGGGCTGGTTCAGTTTCTGTGATACTTCAGAAAGTCATAGGGATGGCCCAGGATTAAATTTTGCAGGGCCAGGGACAAATCAGCACCTTGCTTCGCTTTGGGCTGTGTCGTGGCTCAAACTCCTGAACTCCTGAGGATGATTTGTTGCCATCTTTGCAAAATCTGTCGGCCTGGCATGGTGGCGAAGTATTGGACAGGGGATGGTTCAAGGTTCTGTTTGCTTGCATCATACGAGCGCCTGATGTTCTTGTTGCGCAATGCAAATGGCGGCTGAAAAACAGTCTTCTCGGGGCCTGTGAGAACAAGACAGAATGCAGACGCGCTACTGACAGGGCTTGGGACAAATACCCCCTGTTCACTAATTAACATGGTGACTGACGGGGCTTGGAAGACCCCCTTTCCTTTAAAAGGGACCCTCTCATTAACCCATGTTAGTGGACACCAAGAGGCACGAACGAGGCAGGCAGACTGTTTGCATCAGCCCAAGCAGCGAATTACAAATTCCCTGCTCGCATAACAATCATGTGGGTTGCGTGACTATGTGTGTATCTTTTTTTGAGGGTGCGCTGGTTGGGGTTGTTTGAAAGGGAAATGAATTGGACCCCACAACAAAGTCATGTCAGCCCGAGTTCGCGTTTTGACCCATCGGCCATTGCCGGACCACCTTTTGCTCAAGGCCGGAAACCGTACCGATCTTTACGTAGAGTGGGCCCTGCGCTTTTGATTCAGGCAGCCAGGCATGAAACAAACAAGGAAACAACAGCACGCACCATCCAGACACGAGCACACCATCAGTTCTCGCAAACCGCTGAACAAACACGCGCCATGCGCAGCTTGGGCAGGCTTTGCTGACCACTGAGGCACTTGCGGGCAGTGGTTGGCGCATGTTGCTTCATGTCGTGGTCCCTTGGGCCGCTGGTATTTGGATGAATCCCTTTGTTGAGAGCACCCCCTCTTCGATACAATTCCACACTTTCTGAGGCACCCCCTGTTGGATGGTCTGACAGGAAAGCCCAAAAACCATCCGCCTGGAGTGGATCCGTAGGCGCATCCCGCCTTTGGCCAGCGCCTTTGCAGGTGCCATGCCAGCTCTTCCCGCAGCTCGGAGCGGTCAGAGAGGTTGCCCACGGGGTGGTTTTTGGGATTCGCTTGGGAAGTAGTTTGGCAATTATAAGCGCTGCACGCTGCACGCGTTGGCCGGGCTGAGGAGAACTGTAAGAACAATGTGGGCTTGAGCAAATGATGCCGGTGCTGGGGTGAGCAGTTTGGTGCAGCGCAAGCTGGGCCTGTTATAACGGGCTCGGGGTGCAGGGCAAGGCTGCTTGGGCTAGGATTGGGTCTGAGCAAGATCACGGAAGCTTGATGCCTTCCCACGCCTACGATTTAAGTAGAGGGGCGCCTATGATCATCACGCAATTTGGCTGAGGTTGCGCGCAGCTTCATTCCACACGCTTGCCGGCAAGGGAAGGAACAGCTTGCAAGCAGCCTTGCAAAACGTGTCAGCATGATTTTTGGAGAGAGGAGGGTCACTTTTTAAACTGGGAGGCGAACACGGCGCATGGCTCCAAAGCTCGTTTTGGGTGATGCAGAGTTGTTGCAGGGTGCTTCGTCCTGCGAAGAGGCAAAGCCTGTTCTTTAGACCCCACACTCGAAGGATGGATTTGAGCCGGGGCAGTTCCAACTGAAGCAACCAAGTGGTATGGCATCAAGTGGAGGGAGGAGGCCTCGTTGATTGTTGTATTCCGGTCAGCGATTGAAACAACACGTTGGTTTTTGAATATGGTTATGCGCCACTGCTTTAAAAGCAAACCAACATTCTCCATCATTTGACAGGTTGATTCCTGGGATTGATACGGGCGCAGTTCAGACGCGGTTTCCAACTTCAAGGATTCACAGGGAGTTTGCAGGGATTTGAGATTTTCAGGGCTCTACGCTCAACCCAAGAACATGTCAAGCACTTCAAAATGACTTGAGCTATGTTGGACAACTCATATCAACCTCACAACGGGCTTGAAGGCTCTACCGACATTACCTAGGGTTGGTGAACTAACCAAGCTCTATCAGGGCTTCCCACTATACAATGCAAACGTGAGTCCAGTACACAACACACACGTCAGTTGCTAGTGGCAGCTCCGGCAGATTTTGTTGCGCCGCTTTCTTTTTGCCAAGAGCTCCAAACTTGGCCACTACGGGGCTTGCTGTGAAAGACACGCATGTCGGTTTGATAACATGGGCTGCAGTCTGGCAGGGTGGGTGCAGTGTTCTCGCTTTGTGGGTTTTGTGGCAGAAGGTGGGGTGACCGCTGTGCTTGGGCGTCTTCCAAGTATCCGGACGGTTTTCTCTTGCTCATAGTGCTGCCTCTCACACGCTTTTGAGCGGGCTCTGTTTCTGGGTTCCTGCTTCACAGCTGGCCCATGGACCCAGTAGACCAAGACAACGGCGTCACCACCCTAGAGACACCGAAAGGCAGCTCTGGTCGCACCCGTTTTCCAGAGAACCCCCCCAACTCATGCTCTGTGCAAAACAGTTGATCGCGCGTGAAAGGCAGGTCGGACAAATATGGTGGTGCCCAGGGGGTCAGACTCTGGCGAGCGCGCAGGAGCAGAACCCCTGAGATTGTGATAACCTTCTCTACGTCAGCTGGATCCTCTTTAGAGAAAATCCTGGCTTACTTTAGTGTTGCGAATTCTACTTTAGCATTGCCAAGGCTGACTCTCAGATTCCTGTACTTACGATAGCATTGCCAATTCTACTTTAGCATTGCCAAGGCTGACTCTCAGATTCCAGTACTTACGATAGCATTGCCAATTCTACTTTAGCATTGCCAAGGCTGACTCTCAGATTCCAGTACTTACGATAGCATTGCCAATTCTACTTTAGCATTGCCAAGGCTGACTCTCAGATTCCAGTACTTACGATAGCATTGCCAATTCTACTTTAGCATTGCCAAGGCTGACTCTCAGATTCCAGTACTTACGATAGCATTGCCAATTCTACTTTAGCATTGCCAAGGCTGACTCTCAGATTCCAGTACTTACGATAGCATTGCCAATTCTATTTAGCATTGCCAAGGCCAAGGCTGACTCTCAGATTCCAGTACTTACGATAGCATTGCCAATTCTACTTTAGCATTGCCAAGGCCAATTCTACTTTAGCATTGCCAAGGCTGACTCTCAGATTCCAGTACTTTACTTCTACTTTAGATTGCCAAGGCAGATTGCCAATTCTACTTTAGCATTGCCAAGGCTGACTCTCAGAGATAGCATTGCCAATTCTACATTGCCAAGGCTGACTCTCAGTACTTCATTGCCAATTCTACTTTAGCATTGCCAAGGCTGACTCTCAGATTCCAGTACTTACGATAGCATTGCCAATTCTACTTTAGCATTGCCAAGGCTGACTCTCAGATTCCAGTACTTACGATAGCATTGCCAATTCTACTTTAGCATTGCCAAGGCTGACTCTCAGATTCCAGTACTTACGATAGCATTGCCAATTCTACTTTAGCATTGCCAAGGCTGACTCTCAGATTACTTACAGCATTGCCACTCTCAGATTCCAGACTACGATAGCATTGCCAATTCTACTTTAGCATTGCCAAGGCTGACTCTCAGATTCCAGTACTTACGATAGCATTGCCAATTCTACTTTAGCATTGCCAAGGCTGACTCTCAGATTCCAGTACTTACGATAGCATTGCCAATTCTACTTTAGTATTGCCAAGGCTGACTCTAGATTCCCAGTGCTAATTTTAGTATTGCCAAGGCTGACTATCAGCTTCCCAGTACTTACGCTAGTATTGCCAATTCTACTTTAGTATTGGCAAGGCTGACTCTCAGATTCCCAGTGCTAACTTTAGTATTGCCAATTCAACTTTAGTATTGCCAAGGCTGACTCTCAGCTTCCCAGTACTTACGCTAGTATTGCCAACTCTACTTTAGTATTGGCAAGGCTGACTCTCAGATTCCCAGTGCTTAATTTAGTATTGCTAATTCAACTGTAGTATTGCCAAGGCTGACTCTCAGCTTCCCAATACTTACGCTAGTATTGCCAATTCTACTTTAGTGTTGCCAAGGCTGACGCTCAGATTCCTATTACTTGCTTTAGTATTGCCGATTCAACTGTAGTATTGCCAAGGACCATCTTTTTCAGCAGCCCCCAAAAAGCTTGGACACTAAAGAGGGCCTTAAAACAGTCACATTAAAGAGGACCAGGGATTAGATTTGATGGTTTGGGGGCCACTGGCACAATGGACTTCCTAGATCCAAGGCCTAATGAGACAGCACGCAGCGTTTTTGACACCTGGTCTTACTCCAAAGAGCCCGAATTTGTGGGTTGCTTATGGATCTCCCTCTGCTTGGTTTTAGACTTTAGCTTGGGCTTTTGCACCTTGTCATGGTTTCATGTGTCCTTCCAACATGGCGGGACATACGTCTCAAACCAGACAGGCTGCTTTCGCGAAAGCACACCTTCGCCAGTTTTGTGGGCCAAAAACATGAATTCCAAAACGGCACCAAGGTAAATCGAACCAGAGAGACTAAAACCTGCGTAACGCCTAGCTGTTCAATTTTGAGCCACACAAATTTGGCTGTGGGTCAAAACTATGTACCCAAAATGGAACCCTGCCAAACGGAACCAAGCACTCAAACCTGCGTAACTCCTAGCTGTTCAATTTTAAACCGCACAAATTTCAGGACCCTTCCTGCTGCTCGCATCAGCCCGAGGTTCTGTGCCGAGAGGCCCTGGCCGAGACGCTGAAGCAGAGCTTAGTGCAGCGGGCCACGGCAGAGGAGGGCGGATCGGGGCCAACCGCGCAGCAAAACACCAAGCAACTTGTAGATGACAAGAGCCACAATCAAAACCCGGGTACATGAAGGTTCGTAAGGGACAATCCCAACCGTAAATGGCTGCCGCCGCCTTCCTCATTCCTTCCATGGTTCTGGGTAGACCATTTTAATACTGGGGTTTGATTATGACTCAGTTTGAAGAAGCCAAGACCGGAATCAGATGGTTTCTCAAACCGGGCGTTCGGCTCTTTCGCCCGGAGGCACCGGTCGACGCTTGAGACCGGGTGACCGGTCGCCGGCCAGGAGCTGCCGTTGCGCTTCGATGGCTTCCTCACCCTCGCGGCGGCCAGAGCCCTCATGGCCCGGGGCTTTTTTGGGGCGAGTCGCTGAGCCAAACCTTACATGGCTATGGGTCAAAATCCAAATCGTACCCCCAGTGAACATCCCAATCCCCACTACAATAGACTAAACTGGGTGGTGCACCTACCCCACAATGGTACAATTGGTTTTGACCCACAGCCAAATCATCGAAAGCAAAGTTTGACCTTGAATCATCGAAAGCAAAGTTGGGGCAAAACTGTCTAGGTCCCCCAGTAGTGCCAACTTTTACCGTTTCTTTTTTGGTTGGGGAGGGTTCCCCTACCAAAATAGACTACAGAACAAAAGGGTACCCTTGTTCTAACCTCTATAGAGGACCTAGCTGTAGATGGACGAAATCCATTTCGCACCACCCAAGAAACCCCGAAGGATGATGCGCATGTGAATGCCAACAAACAATGGTTTCCCATGGCTTCAAAGTGGTGCAGGATGCCGTCCATCCACAGTAGGAAGAGCTGTACCAAGGAAATCCAAACATTTATATAAGATCTTGTTTTGCAGCCAGGCCGTTGACCTTGAACCTTCTGACCTGTTTGGGACCCTCTTGCTGTTGCTTGTGGCCCTTCCCTTGGTTTTGATCAACCCCTTGGTTCGACGATTTCCAGACCAACTCCGTCTCGAGGTGTGTGGCGGACCCAATGGGCCAAAAAGAAACGCAGTGGCCAAGGAGTTGTGTTGCGCCTGAAAGCCCTTCCCTCAAAGAAACCCGCCTGTCCCTCTGACGCGGGATGCGTGTTGGGTGTTAGTAGAAAACTGCGCAGGGAAGACTTGTATGATCGGGAGGCGGTAACTATGGCGTATGGCCCAATCGGACAAGGGGATTCCGGATTTCCAGACTGCACATAGCTGGCTGCACTGGCAATGTTCACGGCAAGAATGCAACACATGGAGGGGGCCCGAGTTTTGAACTAGAATGCTTCTGGGAAGTTGTGAGGTCGGCGGCTGACCTTGGCGACTCACACGGCGGTCCAGCACTCTCCATTGAAGCGTTTCTTCCAATTTCATGTGCCCTCAGTCAGCCAGCTTGTCCTTTTTTGTGGAGGTTTCCTTTGAGTTTCAACTGGCCAACACAGAAGAGTGTCCCTTTTGCCAACCTCGGCCATTTTGCAAGTAGTCATGAGCAGCTCAGACACACGCGTTCCACTTCCTCAAACGTGGACATTTTTCGAGAGGCCACTCCTTCCCCTCCAGAAACCGCGTTTATTCAGCGTCGGGAAGCCAAGGGGGGCCCAGGTTAAGCGGAGAGGGAGCTTTGGGAGAAGGGCTGGAACTCACACCCCAAACGAGCTTGCTTACCTTCCCTGGGGATGCCCATGTTTTTGCAGTTTGAAAGTTTGTGAGAAGACTTGGGTATTGTAACCTAGTGCAATTTCTCTCATTTTGGTGTAGTTGTCCCCTTTACTTGCCCACACTTGCCGGGAGTTGTGCCATCTTTCGCCCCGGTCACTTTTTGCATCCATCCTGCAGATGCTGTTCATCCTCCTGGGCATCATCCTTGCTGGTCTTTGGCGGGTGGTGGAGATTTCCGACCCCGCGCCGGCCTCGAACAGTTTGAGCTGGATCCATTGGATGACAATTTGTGGGGGGGAATTCCATATAGATCCATAGCCACTATAGCCACTATATAAAAGCTATATATCCAACTTTCCCTTGGGTAGCGGCTTGGATAGCCTCTTAGAAAGGATGCCAAGACCTAAGTCGGCCTTTGCCACTTGGCTCTTTGGAATGTGCTGAGGATCCCGTGCAAGAGGAGGAGAACCAAAAGCGGCCACCCGGCAAGGAGATTCAGTTTGGGGGCTGGGGGCTGAGGGTGGCGGAGTCTACAATGCATCGCACATGTCCCCAGTTATCCCTTGTTCTTTTCTTGGGGGGCTTTGTTCAAGAGCCAACCAAACCAAGAAGTACGCATAAGTACGCCCTTTTCTGGACGGGAAACCAGACGGCAACCAGAATGCCCGCTGCGGCTCAAACTAGTGGGGAGCAACCACGCAATAAGCCAGTCGAGCTACTGTGGATGGACAAAATTGTGTACTAGTTGGGATGGACAAAGCCCTACAAGCGCAAACCGTCTGTCTACCAACCGGTGCCGGATTTTGAGCATACTCGGCTCTTTCGACTCGGCTCTGAGCCAACTCCGAAGCCCAAACGGGCATTGCCCCAAAATACAGAACCCTTTCTTGTGGTTTTGGTTTCTGCAGTAAGATTTGGCGCGGTTGCGACTCTCGGAACCGTTCGAAGATGTCCCGACGAACTCCTGGGCCCCCCATGCTTTGGGCTTTGGGGTTCCCTGGACCTCTCGGGCCCCGAAGAAATCGCTTTGATCTTCCGATCGGTGCGATTTGGCACTTCTCTCGGCTCCAAGTGGCCAAACCACGAGGGGTAGGAAACTAAATGTTTGGTTTCCTCCGTTTTCCATGCCACAGATTCCAGAGGAAAAACAACCACAATATGGAATCAAGGATTTTCTTCTTGGTGGGAATATTCTTCTCTTGGGTTTCCTCTGGTTTCCATGGCAAAACAATTCTTCCCTTGAGCCTTGAGCCTTTGGGACCGAGAAAGCTCCTGGCGGTGGACAAGCTGCTGAAGTCGGAGCTTTCGCCTCCACCGCCCGAGGGCGCTGGCCTCGCGGGCTCGCGGGTTTGGCGGTCGGAAAAGCCCTGGACTTGACGTTAGGTTGGAGGTTTGTAGATGGCTCTGGTTGTCAAAACCGTTTTGGGATCTTTTGGTTGGTAGGTGCAAGAACCCATTTTAGAACCTATTTTAGTTGGGATTGAGATGTTCTCTGGGGGTAACCGGGATTTGACCCATGGCCATATGACAGCCAACTCTAGACCTAACTTGGAGCTAGGGATCCACGAGCCAAGAAGCCGGGGTGGACGGGGTCGAGGGGGTTGTTTGGCTTTGGGGTGGATGACTTTTGATCGTTTTACTATACGCAGTCTTTTCATGCCGCATAGATGTTGTTCGACTCCTACATCCTCATCACTGGGCTAGAACAATCTGGGCATTTCGATTTAGGCGTCAGGACAGCCCTACAACGTTGAAGACGAGACGTTAGGGCAAGAATCAAACAGACGGTTGTCAACAGAGTCGCGGCATTTGATTGCTGCGTTTCTTGCTGCATCTCAAATCAGATGCTACAGGTCACTTGAACAGGATGCGCAAAACGCCGGGCTGTTCAAAGGTAATCCTTCCTTCTCTTCGGTTCCGCGAGGACCCGGTTTTTGTCTTTTTTTGGTAGTGGCTTCCCTGGGAGAGTGGAACATCGGCAAGCCAAGCCTCCATTTTGAGCCCAGACTGGGAGGGCAAAAGAAGTCGCTTCGGTGTCCCGCCACTTGGGTCGCTTGCTCGCTTCCCTTTGAGCGCGCTCCGAGTCCCCAGCCTGCCGGTGCCAGAGCTGCCGCAGATTTGCGCGCCCTACATGCGGGCGATGCAAGGACCGGGCGTCGCGGCGTGGCAGGGTTTGTGCTATGCTTCTTTTTGGACACCTAAGAACTTGGGGTTGGGGATAGTCATCAACCATTCAAGAAACTTAGACAAGAAGCATAAAGGTTGCTATTGCGGCAACCACGGCTTTGGCATTTGCAAGGGACATTTACACACCCAACATGTGTATGGGTTAAGTTTTGATTTCACTTCCCTCCCACCAACAAACATGGAACCCATCAGATGGTCCCTAACAGATAAGTCCATCCATCCCAAAAGCAGCAGTCGCTCTGATCAAGCTCCGGCACGGTCCATGGAAGCTTTGCCTTGCTCGCTGGTCCACGCTGAGTTCAGCACACCGCACGGACCCTCTCGGCTGGTCAGTGGAAAAAGGTGAGTCTGAGCATGGCACAAGTTTCAGGCTTGGGGATTCAGTCACATAGCACCAGCCCTTGGACTCGGCACTCACGCCTGCGAAACCAAACCGCGCCGGGAGTTTCGGCCCAGGTTGCCGGCTCACAGAGCGAAACGTGGCCAAAAGCCCCCGACGGTCAGCTGGATGCGACGGGGCCCCGAAAAAGTCACTTAGAATCTTTGGCTTGCCCCAGAAACCTCTGACCTGGACCCCACTGACTCAACCCCCAAGAAAGTCACTCTTGGGAATCTTTGGTTTCAACCCCCCCCCTCCTGAACCAGACCCCACTGATCCAACCCCGCCAGGAACCTCCAGCCCCAAGCCCTCCGCAGGAGCTGACCTCTGCCTGGCGCTGCCCCGGGAAGGCGCCGGCCCGGTGCAGGTGCTCGGCCTGGGCTCCGCGCAGAGGCGATGCGCTGGGCTCTGCGGGGCTTCGCCATGCGGCGCGTGGTGCGTTTTTTTTTTTTTTTGGGGGGGGGCACCACCAAGCAACCAAGCGTAAAATACGGCACGAAACGAACACCTGCCGCGGAGGGATGCGCAATCCATGTTGCACTGCTGAATTAGCAAGCGTTGGAATGTGTTGATTCCCAACGTAATATGCCAAGAGACACGGGTTTCAACCATAGTTTCCAAATGGTGCGAAATGGATTTCGTCCGTCCAACGTATTACCAACAGTTTCGCCGCATCATTGATGACTAACTGTGGTTTGAAAGAGCCCAAACCTAAACATGTTGGTTAGGCCATGTTAGGCCCTTATGCTTTATGAAGGTTTGATTGAGGTCCCTCACCCTCAAAAAAGACACCGAAATACAAACGGGAATTTGTGGGGTAAGTTCCTCCCATCCTTCCCGGGAGCAAAAAATAACTTCTGTGTTAAAGGGTGTCCCATCACTTTGTCACTGTGTGGGTTCCCTTCACTCACAGGAAGATGCAATCTGAAGCCCTGGTTCCCAACCACCTGGGTGAAGAGAGTAACAAAAGTGCTTAACCAAGCTGAAATGAGCCATGCTCCAACAGAGCAACCTTCATGGGCCCGTCCGTCGCAAGAACCACGGATCTCTTCTCTGACTTGCCGATTTCCGGGCAAGCTCTTGAGCAATTTTCGAACCGTTGGGGTTTCATGGTATTTGAATTATTTGATCCGAACTAGTTGGACACCTTTTTGAACAGGAAGACAACATGCATGCAGCGTGGCCATGTGCAATATGTTTAAATCGAGCGTTGCTCTTGACCCACCAGCCATGTGTCACAGTGGCAACACATATTCTGTTTTATTCCTGTTCGTTTTGATTTGAAGCTCTGGAAATGAAACAAAAAAGCAACAGCAAAACACAACTATGCCCCTAAGTCACGACAGGTGACATGGTCTTGTTTGTCTGTTGTGTCGTTTGTTTTCTTTGTTGCGGGGGTCCCCAAAGCACACCATAGCACAGGGTTTACGTAGAAGGGGAGCGGTACCCCTGTTCCCTGACCAATCAAAACGCCCCGACAACTCCGGTGCCAGGTGCCCCAAACCTTTGTTCCCCCCCAATTCTTTGATCGAGATGCCTCCCAAGCCCAAGGTGAGATATATGGCTGTAGGTCAAAACCGTTATGGTACCATGTTGGGGTAGGTGTACCACCCATTTTAGTCTATTTTAGTGGGGATTGGGATGTTCACTGGGGGATAACCGGGATTTTGGCCCATGGCCATAAATGAGTGACAAAACCTCTTCTGAGGTCCCGTCTTTTATTGTCGACCATATCGTTTTTCCAAGGCTTTTTGGGCTACGGAAGTGTGGAGCGAAGCTCATATGCACTGATTGCAGGGTCCTTGGAGGGGCATGATTGCAGATTCACGAGCAGCCCTTTTGCCACGTTCCACCAAATCAAACAAAGATTCACCTCATCGATACTGTAGTGGGCTAGGGTTCTCCGCACAGAAACGCTTTTCAAGTATGTGCCTGGTCATGCTGTCAAACGTATTATGTCATCTGTCCTGACTTGGGGGAATACCAAGGAGGTACTTGGGGAATATTGAGGGGGGGATACTTCGGGGATACTGTGAGAATACTAGGGGTATGGCAAAGAAGTGATAAAGGAATACTCGGGCAATATTGGGATTACAAATGCCCGATGCAATCTTTTGCTGCAAATGAACGACTTGATGTTGTTTGCAATGCAAGAAGAAGACCACTGTCCTGCTGGCTATGACTGATTCTGTTTAGATCCTGTTTACTTCAAGCAGAAGTGTGCATGGTCTTCATCTACAGTTTTGATCCAGAAGCAAAGACAGTCCTGCTCAATGATTGAAACATCGCGCACGCTCACAGCGTCCCACTCTCTATTCAGGGTCCCTTTTGTTTCTCAAGAGTTTTAAACAGATTGATATCCCCTCCCCATGCCCTTGCAGGAGTGTCTTGTTTTTGAGGTCCTTGGGGCTTTAAAGGGAAACCAAAAGGAAACCCACCATTTTGGGGGTACACATGAAAAAGATACACCCTTAAGTGGGTATGGGTCAAAATTAAACCACCGGGGGACCAGAGGTTTTAGTCCTTGGTTCCATTCACCAGACCAAGCCATTTTGGGTGCGTATTTTTGACCCACACCCATTTGTGGTTCCCCGTGTTTTCAACCAAAGGACTGTCAGAGGGCAAGTTCAGTCCTGGCAGGGGCCCGGCTGTCTGCCTGCTGAGCGCACGTCTGGCAGGAGGTGGGGAGTTGGTCGAGTCCAGTCCATGGAGGTCCGTGGTGTACCTCATGGGACGGGTGGTTTTAAGGAATCCCCTTTGCAGTCCTTTGGTTTTAGGAAGAAGTTTGAACCGTGGAATGTTTGTTGGATGTTGTTGTGGCCGATTTCTGTGTTTCCAAGGTTTCTCTTCGAAGGGATAAACTGGTCAGGAGGGGTGCCCACTTTGGTTTTACAGATGGTCGCTCGTTTTGCAGCGACCATGGTTCACTCGGGGAGCACGAGCAGCGCGGTGAATGGCACCAGTGTTGGGCGAGCGTTGGTCCAAGAAACGAACATAACCAGACGAAGGACTCTAGGGAAAGCTTCGTGATGTCTAAGGGGGCTGGTTGACCCATGGGATCCCCAAGCTCAGCAAGTTGGTCATGGAACCCCAAAAGCCCATGTTACAATGCGGAGGTTGGTGGTCGGAAGCTCGGAAGCTCGGGCAACGGGCACCTCCAGGAGCTTAGCACCACAATTAAGTCAAGTCTGACTAGAATTTGCACTGAATTAAGGCACCCCCCCCCAAACAAAGTGCATGACCCCGCCCCTCCCCCGCCTCTAAAAAAAAACAACAACAAGAGAAGGAGCCAGATCGAAGGTTCTTTTTCCTGAAACAGTACCCATCGCCGACTGGTTCTGGCCGATTCGCCAAACTCTTCAGGGACTCGACTTTTGTTCTCGCAATGTGTCCGATTGGGCCCCTTGCGCCTTGCAGAGCTTCAGCTCTGCCGTTGAAATGAGACTTTGGACCTTTGGGAATCCTGGCGGCAAGGGCTCCAAAAGCGTCAGAGAGATACTTGGGCGTTTAAACCTGAGGAGGTAGGTGGTTTTTCTGGTGGTATCTCGTTGACACCATCCAAAAAGAGGTCCCCGATTTCGAGACCCCATTTGAGGAGATAGACCAAACCAGAGGAAGCCACGAGGCTTCCTAGTCCCAGCCACTCCCCGGAGCGGCAGGAGTTCTGGAGCTCGTCGAGCAGGAGAGCTGCCGTTGGGATATGGCGGTTGGCCAAAAGGGCGGGCAATTCGGTGACTGAAGTCAACGTTGGATGACTAGGTCCCCCAGTGCCAACTTTTACCGTGTCTTTTTTGGTTGGCAGGGTTCCTCGACTAAGAATAGACTACAGAAAAAAGGGTACCCTTACTCTAACCTCTCTACTGGAGGACCTAGATGAGTCCTGCGAACCGTTCTCCCAACTCGTTGGATCAACGCTTTGCTTGCCAAGCCCGCGGACGCTGGGAACACCCTCCGACATCACAACCTAGAAAGAGAAACACATGTGCCGTGGTCCAACTTCATGAGGGTCATAGTCACGGTTTGCAGGGAATCTTGACAGTTTTTGACTAAAAGCCCTAAGAGGGTGATGACCATCTCTACCACGTCGAAAGATTCTTCTGACCATCGCACACACGCAGCTTTTTTCCTGCGCAAAGCCTCCGAACCTCCATCCTCGGAGCAAGGCCCTTGCCCTCCACCGGTGTCCAAGGGAAAAGGAGGTCATCAACCCTTGGATGGCGCTAACAGTTTGGGAAGTGGATGATTCCATTTAAATGGCCGATTGGCTTTCGAACAGCGTGACAGCTCCAAAGGTCGATGTGCGCTGTGACCCCTGTGGCCGATGGAAAGAAAGGATAGCTTCAAACAAATCTTGGTTGGACACCTTCCAACATGCGAGGAAAAAGCAGGGTCCATTCTACCGCTCCATCGCTGGTTGATTCATCATGGTCCACCTAGCAAGAGGACAAGCGCCAGGTTGGGGCTTTTTGCCCATATATAAACCAGGACACTTCAAAGGGAACCTGAAACGGGGGTTGGTGGCCTTTGATTTCATGAGGAAATTCTTCAAGATTGGTTTGACAAGGGCTTGGTTCCAGTGTCAAAATTTTGGGTTGGAAGGACCCTTGTGCAGTAGTTGCTGTCAAGACGTCGCATTGAGATTTGACCGCTCTCATGTTTATTGGTGTAAGATGCCCCCCCGGAAAAAGCATGCATTGCTGTCGCAAATGCTGTCTTCAGCACCTTCTGTGACATCAGATTGAATGGAAACATTTGGCTTGCACTGACAACATTGAACCTTCAGGGACATGCTTTGCACGCACTTGGAATCAAGCGGCATTTGGCGGAAGGTAATTACATTCCTCTTGGGCTTGCACGCCCAAGATCCCAGTGTTTCGATTATTGTTACGTCCAATATGTCCATTCTTCAAATGTGTGGTAAGTGTTGAAACGGCATGGTGATATCCTGTGTTTGTGGATGTTTGACAGTTGGCATTGAACTTGTGCAAACGCTTTGCCTTTGCCGCCATTTTTTTTGTGTTGCACCTCGCAGTTGAGTGAATCTTTCCCGGGTGTGTTGCTGGGCAATGTGTAGTGTTTTTTTGATGACAGCTGTACACGCTCGCGCCAAGGCCCGGAGCGTAGCCAAGATGTACACAAGACGCAATGTGCCAGAGGATTGTGTATTCACGAGAATATCACATATAGCCGGGGGCACAATAGATTGTGTCATATTGTAAAGGAACTAACAGGGCCCAGAGGCGTGAATGCAAAGAAGAACACCGGGACCCACCAGGCCTGCATGCAAAAACAATCACCGGAGCCGGAGCCCCCAGGCCAATATAAGATATGGGTAACATGTAACATGATATATATATATATATATACATATATATATATATACATATAGATATGACATATATGACAATATAAAGATGTAGGTAACACGTCCTTCTAAGGGCCATGTTTGCCAGGCCCGTGCCCTGCACCCTCAAACCAACCCCAAACCGCCCAAGCCGTTGGGCAAAGCCAGGAGCCCGGCAAGGGCGAGGACGCCAGCGGAGAGGTGCTGCTCAAGGGGACGGCGGATGGGAAGCTTTGGAGAGGAGGCCCGGGGTTTTGGAGTCGTCGGAGTCGTTGCACACCGTGCGAGGTAGAGCTCACACGGAACGACGGAAGCTCCCAAACCAAGTCTTCGGGAAAGGCCTGCAAGCTTCCGTGGTGGGGGAGGGTCCCCCCCAATCTTGACTAGGTTTTCCAGTAGTACCGTTTGACCCTTGTTTGGGGAGGGTTCCCCTACTAAAATAGACTACAGAAAAAGGGTACCCTTATTCTAACCTCTCTACTGGAGGACCTAGTTGAAGCCCTTTCCAATCACAAAGCCTCCCGGGGTCAGGAAAGTTTCCGAAAGCCTTCTGTCAGCTTCCGTGATTTCAAGGGTAATGCGTGGAACAGGGCCTCCCGGGCAAGAAAAGGGCGCGAAGCCTCCAACTCTCCAGGAGAGTGAATCAGCGGGCTTTCACTAATTCGCCTAGACATGGAATCTCATGGTCGAGGTTCTCCTTGCCACAGCTGCCGCTACAGAGTTGACGAAGATAATTTTCTGTATCTTGCCATTTTGTGCATGTTCGGGCACTGTCTCAAACTATATGTTGCATTCATAGGATTTCGTTCAGGGAAGAGAGGTATTTCCTAGTGGGAGACCTCCCCCTAAAGAACATGTCATCGGGCAGGCATTCCAGGATCACTGTGGAAGGGCAATCCCTGAACCTTTAACCCTGGGTCTTTGGTTCACTTTGACGCAACTCGTGGCTTCTCACGACCATAGGTGTCCTTTTTGGCTGGTTTCGTTGAAACACAGAAGGCCCTGGCTTGCCTAGTGGTTCAATCATCTACCAGGCCCATCTATTTTCCAATTAAAGACACCCATGCTCATGATCTTGAGACCGCTTAGATCTCCAAACTCCAGGGGTGCTTGTACATATCCCTTGCACATACAGCTTGGGCAAATGAACCCAAACGGATTGCTGATGTTCATACCCCTCTCTCCAAGATTGGCATATACCCCGTATAAAGTGGCCTGGAAACCAGGGAAGCCAAGGGGTATTCTAAGAAAGCAACCAAAGGAAGTTCTAGAGGAAACCCCTGATTTTGGTGGGAATTTGGCTAGTTTCCTGTAGACTTTCCTGCTGGTTTCTATGAGGTATGAACAAGGGGCATGTGCTTCCACCCGACAAACGGACCCCCACGACCAAAGAAGCAGAGGGGAGCTTCTGGCCACGCTGCGCGCGGCGCCGCTGGGAGGCCGGAAAAAGGGGAGGGGGTGCAAGCCGAAGCGGGCGGAAGGATTTTCGGACCAAGGGTTTTTCCCTTTGACGCCCCCCCCCCCAAAAAAAAAACACACACACACACACAAAACGAAAAAAGCAACCATTAACAACAACAACCCCTCAAAAACAAAAAAAGGCAAAAAGAGAAACAACAACTCGGTCCCCCAGCTAGGTGCCCTTTCTCACCCCTTTTTTGGTTGGGCCGGTTTCCCCTACTAAAATAGATTAAAGAAACAAGTTGGTACCCTTGTTCTAACCTCTCTACTGGAGGACCTAGACAACCACAAAAACAAAGGCACTCTCAAAACGAGCCACTGGGTCAAATCAGGGTGCACATGTTTCACTAACCCTTCTACTTGTTGCCTTTCGGATTTCCTCTGTTTCCATTTCCACCAGCAAGTCACTTCTATGAGGGTCCAAGTCTGGCCCAATCCGGCGAAAAAACACATAGTGGCCCTCACCACTTTTGCTGTGGAGAGAAAGCACGCTTCCATGAAGGCGGTCATGTATCCTCCCTTCCACTGAAAAGGTGCCGGAGAGGAACCCTTGAAGAGGAGTTGGTCTTGCACCTTCCGGAGTTTTGTTAGAGGGAGGCTATTTGAGCACATGGCTCTACCTGGCTGAAAGGAGATACGAATTGGAGGTTTCCTCAGGTTCCTTATATCACACTCAGAGCAACCCACTTTGAGTTGGCGTTTCCAAAGGTGATGTTTAGACTGGCCAAGGGACCACTGACAGATGTGCTACTAGTGTTATTTATTTGCTTCGGGAGGACGAGAAGGGGTGGCATGCAAATTTGCCACAACGTCCAGGGGTTGAGACCGCCCAATTTGCCAATATCCCTCTGGGGGAAGCCTTGCGGTGTTATGGCGCGAGCTCGCGGATTCGGGTGCATAACGAGCTCAAGCCATGTCTATCGGTCATTTACTTGGCGATCCAATTCTCAAATATGCTCTTAGAATTATCAAACTTATTTCAGGTTTTGGAACGTTTCGCAACAAAATCCAGAAAGTCCTATTGGTCAGTGCAAGAAGGGACGTGATAGTGGCTGAGAGGCCACGGCTGCCTGCGGCAGCGCTTCTTGCTGGAGGGCGATACCCTGAAGGCGGTGTTTTTGGTGATGCCGCGGATGGGTGGCGAAGTGATTTTCGCACTACTCCATGGGTACCTTCCCCATTCTTTCCAGGGATCCTTCTTTCTGAAAACCTCCGGAAACCCAGGAAAGCGGCTGTTTTTTGAAAAGAATGGGGAATCAACCCCTAGAACTACCTGAGAAACCCATTCGGATTCCGAGTTGAGTCCCTGTAAAAACCAACAAACTTTGTAGTTTCAACCATGGTTTCCAATCGGTGCGAAATGGATTTTGTCCACCAGTAGGTGTCCTGGTTAGGTCGATTTGATTGAAAGGTGGTTGGGTTTTGGTTGGTAATGAGTTGCTCGAGGTGCCACAAGGGGAACCTTGTTGGGTTCATTTGGGTATGTCCCACCCTGTGCTACTTCGCCATCCATGGAACCTGACTGGGAATCGAGAAATCTCCCCGAGTCAAACTGTCAATCTATTTCTTGGCCAGCACGCAAAGATTGTCCTGTGATGAGAACCCATGGCCAGACCCTATCAAGGGCACGTGCTTTCCCTTTAAGGCTCCCCCTTTTTGGAAGTATTCCTCAACCAGAATCCCCACTCGCCTCCCCAAGACTTGGCGCCCATGAAACGGGGCTTTTCAAGGTCTCGAGGAGTCTGGGGCTCATGAATGGGCCAAAATTAGCCGATGTTCGTCTGGGCTTCCATTTAGCCCACAAAAAAGGGGCCACACTCCACACCCCAACAGCCCAACCCCCCCAACCCCCCAACCCACAACCCCCCAACCCCCCAATTCCCCAACCCCCCAACCCCCCAACCCCCCAACCCCCCAACCCCCCAACCCTCCAAACCCCCAGCCCAACAGCCCAACCGATTCTATCCCCAATAGCCCAGCCCAACCGAGCCCAAACGGGTTCCTGTAGTTCAGGAGGCCCTGGTGCTGAGCGCCTCGAAGACGCGCCTGGAGCTGGGCCTCGCGGACTCGGGGCGGCGCCTGGCGGCCGCGGAAGGAGGCGGTCGGGGGTCGGGGCCGGCGGCGTGAGTTTCCGGGGGGGGGGGGTCTGGGGAGGAGGGTGCGGGGCTCTGAGATCATCGTCATTCGATTTTGCAGCTATCCACACTCTTTCGGACCTACCAAGATGTTCAGCATCATCATATAACACACATGTTTCAGCGGGTGGTCTGGGGATAGCTGTATACGGAAAGAAACTGGTTTGCACTGTAGGTTTTGCTATGACAAGCTCCAAACTGGTCCATACTGGGTTCGCAAAGACCCCCGCTTTCAAATATAAAGCCCCTAAGAGCACCCTTGACAAGCGCGAGAAAGGACAAAGGTGCAGAGGAGAAATGATTCAAAGCTGACGAATTGGTTTCATTGCACTGGACTGTGAATGGAGCTCTAACCTGGGCTGGTCCATCGGACAGTGGTCGATCGAATGCTTTCAAATGCGATAAGAACTGGTGGCCGCAGAAGCTGGTCAAGAGCTGAATTCGGAGTTCTATGTGGCCCGTGACCTTTGCGTGCTATGCGCGATGTGTGCCATTCCGGGTGATATGAGTGATTCCGAGGCCCGAACCAGTTCTGTGAAATCGAATCCAACGGACCCCAACCAAAACACCCGAACTTGCTATTTTCCCACCCAAGCGAATTAATCTTTCCAGAAAGCAGGCGTGAGACGATGCTTGGAATTGGCCCGAGGCAAAACTGCCGATGAAGCTGACAGATCATTTCGACCTGTTGGAGTCTTGTTTGGGGACCTCCAGACTTTGCTACCATCTCAGAGGCTAAGAGGTACACCGACTCTGATTTGCCGAGAGGTCTACCACCCCCCTCAGGACCAACTCAGACCGAATCCCGGGTCTTTGTGGTCAACCCGATTGGTATTTCGGACCCCTTCGATCAGACCCCCTTCCTTCGCCTTTGCCAGTGCCGGGCTGAAGTCCTTTAGTGCCTCCAAAATAATGCGCCTTATTTTCGTCAAAGCTAGGGTAGGCATGCTAGGCCACAGTCTGAGAGGATACAATCTGGGGAGGATGCAATCCATAGAGGATATCAATCGATGGAGGATACAATCTATATGGTCTAACCCGGCCAGGCTTTGTGGTCGTTTGCCGGCATTTCTCCGGTATCCGTGTTTTTTAAATTTCTAAAAAAAGATGCCGGGCGACTGCCAGGCGAGGAGCTGAGTCTCGGCGGTCAAACCAAGAGATCCTGGATTCCCCCCCCGCCCCAGTGTGTGTAGGAACCCTCCAGAGGGTTGGACTTTTCCGAAAGGCAAACCTCGGTTGGAGGTGGACGGGAATAGTTGCCCAGGGATTTGCCTCCCCTCTTCTGAACTTGCTGGGTTCTGGGTTCCGAGTTTGACATTGATTCCTTTGCGCGGGGTTGAGCTGCACGCCGTTTTGTGTCCGATTTCCATTGGTAGCACCTGGTGAATGACAAGCTGATGGTTGTTTGTTTCTTCTAGTTCATTTACATAGACTGCGCTTATTTAGATGTTTAATATGAATTTGGTACAGGTCCTATATAAATTATTATTTTGATTTCGATTTCAAATAGGATTTCCTTTCCAAGTAGGACTTTGAACTGCAAGATACACACACACACACACACGCACAACTCGAGAAAAAACCCAAACACAAACCTCTCGAGAAAACCAAGAAATGAAGAAACCTCGAGAAACCAAAAAGCAACAACTCGGGGACCCCCGCTCCCCCCGCCCCCCCAAAAAAGTTGTTTGCAGTTTTTGGCTTTCTCAAAGTTTTCTTTTATGATTGGTTTCTCGAGTTGTTTTGGCTTTCTGGAAGTTTGTCGGTTTTCTCTAATCAGTTGTGGTTTTGCTTGGGCTTGTCAAGATGGTTGCCCTGCATTTGTTGGAGTTTGGCAGACCAGCTTGACCTACGGGACGCAAGCCTCATGCGCAAAGCGCGCACTACCAGGGTTCCCTCTTCTGCTCTTTTCATGGCTATCTGCTGCCTGCGGAAAGTGGGAACCAAGGCAAACATCATGCCGCAAGGACCGATTTACATCACGGTCCGTATGAATCGTTGAACAGTGCTATATACGGTACAATGTGGCCATCAAAAGCATTGACCAAAAAGTGCAATTTTGTCGATGTTCAGCTGGAGAATACAGGAATCCTGTTGAATTTCCTTTTTCATTTGTGCAAGTGAGTCATTCCTTGCCGAGGTCTGTGATGGTGACTGCGCTGCAAGCAGTTTCGACGGAAGTTGCGAAGGGGGCGATATTTTTGGAGTCACATGTCAAAACTGGGAACTCTGCCAAATACGGTGATTTGGGGTGGCCTGAAGTCGGGAAAGACTGCAAAGGCCGAAAGGATGGAGGAGTCTTCGGCTGTGTTGCTGTTTAGCCTATTCTGAAGATATAGTTCATGGCTGACTGTGTCCAATCCACATGTCTGAATTGTTATTGAAGCACAGTTCAACGTAGGCCCATGTCTGAAGTGTGCTTGAGACATGATGGCGCGGCACTTGTGGTTTGTCCACCACACCGGTGTTCCTTGTTGCGATTCTCAAACCATTTGCTTGGCTCTAGGACATGAGTCTGAGACTCAGTTTCAGAGAACGCAGAACCGCGCAAGTGTCAAGCTGGGGCTCAAGTGAAGCCCGCTGGGTATGGCGAAGTTGCTGGGCTTCGAAGTCATTTTGCGGAGCACTTGTCTTCTTCGTTTTGGCCCGCGGGAGCAGATGAAGGTTAATCTCTGACGGAAGGTGGAGCTTTGGGCGGGATCTGATCCAAGAGCTTACGTTCGGTTTCCCTGAAAATCATGGGGCCGCAAAAAAGTGCTTGCCCCAAGCAGGAATGCCCTGAAGCTTGTTGCCGGGGTCCATGTGGGAAACGCATTCCTCTAATGAAGGGTAGAAATGGCAGTGTCCAGCCAAGCTGCCGAGGAGAATTGTGTTCTGGACTAGTCCTGTCATCTTGCATGCTGCCTTTTGCAAGCCCTTGCAGTTTGGTTGGTTGAATGGCCGTTTGCAGCTGTGCTCATGTCCTCGCCGGTTTGTAACGGGCCATTGTTGGGGGACTGTAATTAATCTGTGCTGCTTCTTGATGATCTCTTTCACCTCTTTAAGAACAAATGCATTACGTTGCATTTTGTTCTTCAACAGGGTTAACCTCCTCACTCAGCTCATCACCGTTCTTTCTTCTAGTTCGATTTCGGATTGATCCGAAGGGACGCGACTGGCCTCCCTTTCGGAGGGCAGATTTCAATGGAGTGGCGGCGGCGTTCCGCCTTGGTTTCCTTATAGGTGTTAGACTCCTTTGACAGTCTGGCTTTTTGGGGCACACCTTTGGATGTTCTGAGGGAAGCAACAAGGACAATAGTGCCATTTGCCCGGGTCCTCTTTCGGATGCACCCCTGTTGCTTTTGCGTCTCAGGTAAAGCCAGAGGTCGATGCAGCTTTTGCCCTCGGCTGCATCCTCATGGCCAAGCTGTTCACTCGAGAGGACGCGGTCAGCACGCGGATATTCCTCTATTTGCTTAATATTTTTTTGTTTTTCCCCTGTTGGGTTTAACAGGAGTTCATCACTACTGGAAATATGTTAATCTTTAGCTGGACCCTTAACCTAAATGGAAGTGTATGTTGCCAGCTGGCTGGGCAAGCTGCGAGCGTGGCATTGCTTTCCCGTCCCTGGATTCCTGGTCACGTCGTGTTGGGTCCGAGTCATTTTGGTTTTTGGGGCTGGGTGGGATTGGGCTAGGAGACCTCAGCTTGACAAGCAGCTGCAGCTCAGATCCTTAGGAGTTCACCAAGCCATGAACTATTAGCTATTTTATCGAGGATCCCCTCGAACATGCTATGTCTTGAGGGCTTAAGCCGCTTGTTCAGCCTCCAATGGCTGGGAACGGGGGTTTGCACTGCTCAAACTTTTGGATTCCAATTTTCGAGCAAAGTGGTCCCCTCTCCGAGCGGGCCTTTGTTGAAGGTCCCCTGCGTGGATTCCCTAATTTGGGCAACGTCGCATCCAAGTGAGCTGAAACTGTTCAGTTGGAACTGCGCGAGGAGAAGTCGTGTGATCCAGGAGAAGACGCCAGAAAGTGAGGGTAAGGTGCCGAGTGGATGTCAAAGATAGGGACCGCTTTTGGGACCCAAAAGGGGTCCATGAATTTTGACACCCGCCGCCGGTCTCATTTTTCCTCGCTGGATCTCAGGTTGCAAACCCCCAAAGCAAACGCATCTTGGACGACTTTTGGTTTGAGATACCCACGGTGTATCTGCCATTTCACTTCTGAGCTTATGGTTTTCAGGGCCCCCTTGAGGTTCCAGCCAAAGAGTCGGAGGCGATGGAGAGAAATAAAGCCACGGATTGCTTGCCAACAAGTGCTATTGGATGCGGGGAGAGGGTTCAGGTGCGGATTCCCTGAAGGCTGCAAGTGGTCTTATGTGAATGATCTAGCAAGTCCTTGTTTCCTCACGGCATTGCCAGCTTTTACCACGCAGCCGTATTATGGGGCAAGTCATAGCGTTAGCGTACTAACCCGAAGAAAGTTCCTTCCTTTTTCCCATTGTTTGGGTCGGCGAAGAGAGAACTATCCCGAAAGAGTGTTTCTCAGCACTTTTTCTATTTCACTCTGGGATTACACCCTAGCGAACATACCTCAAATTTTCCAAAATATTCAACAGAACCAGAATAGGGGTGATTCCCAGGGTGTGGTCTCAGGGTGTGATAGGAATCCCAGAAAGAGTGTTTGGCAAGCCGATCTAAGTTGCTCCAAGCGCTCCGACGACGGTCGACCTTCGACGTAATCCCCCGCCGCTCTGAAGCCGAAGCCGGCCGAAGCGGGCCGAAGCGGGCCGAAGTGACGGTTCCATGTTTGGGGGGCTGCGACAAAACGCCACAGTCAAGAGCTGTAAGATGTGAACCCGGTTCGAAGCTTTTTTTAAGGATTGGGTCGGAATCGCAAACTCGACAGAAAGGGGATCCTGAAAATTTAGGGATTGACACTCAAGCTTGAACAGCCCAAGGTTTGGCGAAGAATTCCACCAATGCTCAGTACAGAAGAACATGCCAATCCATTGTATCTGTTCAAGCTCTCAGAAACCGGATTGAATGCCACACACACACACACTCATTAACTCTGACTGGTTGCACGAGCCATTTCCATGCCTGAGCTGCCTGATGACATTTATCAATCAGGCAGCGAAGAAGGGGAAGGTGGCGTGTCACGGCAGGAGCACAGGCAACCCGACTTGCTCCAAGATTCCAACTCGGCAGAAGTGGACGAAGCCAGGGAGCAGGCAGCTGCAAAGATTCAAGCTATACAGCGCGGCCGAGCCGTCCGCAAGAATCTTGAAAAAGACTCTGCAGACCAAGTAGGGCCAGACTTTCTTGCTTCTGAAGATCCTGCAGAGGACAAAGCCAAGGAGCAGGCAGCGGCGAAGATTCAAGCTATACAGCGCGGCCGAGCCGTCCGCAAGAATCCTGATAAAGACACTGCAGACCGGAAAGAACCAGACTTTCTTGCTTCTGAAGATCCTGCAGAGGACGAAGCCAGGGAGCAGGCAGCGGCGAAGATTCAAGCTATACAGCGCGGCCGAGCCGTCCGCAAGAATCCTGATAAAGACTCTGCAGACCGGAAAGAACCAGACTTTCTTGCTTCTGAAGATCCTGCAGAGGACGAAGCCAGGGAGCAGGCAGCGGCGAAGATTCAAGCTATACAGCGCGGCCGAGCCGTCCGCAAGAATCTTGAAAAAGACTCTGCAGACCAAGTAGGGCCAGACTTTCTTGCTTCTGAAGATCCTGCAGAGGATGAAGCCAGGGAGCAGGCAGCGGCGAAGATTCAAGCTCTACAGCGCGGCCGAGCCGTCCGCAAGAATCTTGAAAAAGACTCTGCAGACCAAGTAGGGCCAGACTTTCTTGCTTCTGAAGATCCTGCAGAGGACAAAGCCAGGGAGCAGGCAGCGGCGAAGATTCAAGCTATACAGCGCGGCCGAGCCGTCCGCAAGAATCCTGATAAAGACACTGCAGACCGGAAAGAACCAGACTTTCTTGCTTCTGAAGATCCTGCAGAGGACAAAGCCAGGGAGCAGGCAGCGGCGAAGATTCAAGCTATACAGCGCGGCCGAGCCGTCCGCAAGAATCCTGATAAAGACACTGCAGACCGGAAAGAACCAGACTTTCTGGCATCGTCAGCTGCAACATTGGGCGAAGCTAGGGATGAGGCAGCAACAATCACTAAACAGGTTGATGGTAGCAGCAAGGCGGGCAGTAGCAAGGTGAGCAGCAGCAAGTTGGGCAGCAGCAAGGTGGGCAGCAGCAAGGTGGGCAGCAGCAAGGTGGGCAGCAGCAAGGTGGGCAGCAGCAAGGTGAACAACAGTAAGGCAGATAAGGCAGATAGCAGCAAGGCAGATAGCAGCAAGGCAGATGGCAAGGCAGGCAGCAACAAGGTCAGCAGCAGAGCCGGCAGCAAGGCACCTAGCAGGGCCGGCAGCCAAGCAGCAAAGAAGGGCCCACCGACTTCCAAACAGTCGGCAGTGTCGAACCCACAGCCTGCCAATGCGGCCAAGGAGAAGCCAAGGACAGGGATCTTTACTCGCACCATGGATCACTTAGATGCCCTTGGAGCCAAGGACCCTAGATATGCAGGCACAAGCACCCCCCAACAAGATCGCGTCGGAATTTTCAGTGCCTCTGATCTCAGCCGACCGACTTACAGGTCCAAGTCGCCGCGGACGCCTCGAACTTTGCAGGCGGAGCGGGGTTTTCAAAGAGGTTCTCTCCATGGGAAGGGCTTCGAATTTGCCCAACTAGGTCCCCCAGTGCCCTTCTCTCCCTCTTTTTTGGTTGGGAGGGTTCCCCTGCTAAACTAGACCACCGAAAAAAGTTGGTACCCTTATTCTAACCTCTCTACTGCAGGACCTAGCCAAGGAACACCCGCAGCTTTGGGACTTCACGAGGGGCAGGAACCACAGAACGTGCCTCCGCTGATCTGGTAAGCGGAATCGGCATATCGGACCGGTGCCGAGTTGCTGTGAATCCCCTGTGAAATTGCGAATGAGTCATGGCAAGGGAAATACCGCCAGAGGATCAGATGGTGTTCTTACAATCATATGGGTGACCTGAGTTGACCACTCGACGGAAATCAAGATGTCGAGTTCAGAAGGGTATGGCTGCAGCTGAAGGCGCTTTCCAGGGAGCTTCACCCAAACATGAGGTACTAAGAGCTAGGGTCTTGTCCAGGGCTCCTGGATTTCTGGGTTGGAACTCCAGTCTCATGTGGTCCATGGGCAACAGCCGGGAACGAAGGACGCTCAATGAAAAGGCAAAGGAGTGTACCAGGGCGGGCCCTCCTGTTCTTTTCATGCCCCACGCGGTAATAATGCAGGGCAGGGTTACATGATTTGGAGTCAGGGATCAGAAGCAATTGGAACGCAACATCGACCGTGCGACCTGCCGTGCTCAAGTCATTGCAGGCTGGCAGAGGATATTTGAGTAGATCCCATGCCGGGAATAGGTGTGGCAACTGTTGCGCCAGTTTTATGGCGAGCTCACCGATCGGGAACCATCTCACGATGTAAGTCGCCGGACCTCACTGGCAAATCCAGTCACTGCCAACCCCCCAAACCCCCAACCCCCCAACCCCCCAACCCCCCAACCCCCCAACCCCGCAACCCCCCAACCCCCCAACCCCCCAACCCCCCAACCTCCACCCCCACCCCTAAAACTCCGACCTTCCCCCCCGAATCCGTTGACCGGATTTGCCGAGTGGAAACCACTGGAGCCATGGCGCGCTACGTCTTCCTGGACGAGGCCCGACTCAACTCACCGCAGCCAGCGGAGGCCGGGAGGAGTCAACGGTTGGGGGCGGAAGAAACGCAAAAAACTCGCGCCCCAAGTTCCTGGACTGGAAAGAGTCACGTTTTGGGTTTGGACCATTGTTGTTGTTTCGTTTCTCCCATTCAGAAGGGCGTCAATGTTCCACATGGTTCCCCGACGAGTTTGGCTTCGGGCAAGGGATCAGGAGGCCTCAGGCTTCGCAGGCCCACATTGTGACTGGTTACGGTTGAATCAGATGACACCTCGATGTGGCCCGCCAGAGTTCGCCGGACTTCGGAAGAAAAAAGCAACACATGATTTCTTGTTCAATCTTGGTGTGTTGGCTCTTGGACATTCAGCGCCGCAAAGGCAGCGCACCCCACCAAGTTCGTGTATGTCTAACTATTCCAACAACCCCCCCCCCCATTTTTCCAACCAACATTCAATCCATTCCAACCCAAATTGGGGCAGACCAATGGATTCAGCGAAGGCCCTCGCGTTTTGAGAGACGGTGGCTGCCCCTGCTATATCGCAAGTACCCACACACAGAAAACCAACTTACAGCAAATCAGGGGAGGTTCCCTTCCCTGCGTTCTCAGCCTTTGTCCCCAAAAGACCCTCAAATATTTTGGGACCCTAGGGCTTGTTCCCCAGCAGAGTTCGGGCAACTTTGGGGGTGTCATTTTTTGGAAGCGACTCTTTTTGGGTGGTTTCAATTGTACACGACCCATTGTTTGGGGTTTTCCGATGTTGAGACACACATTGGTGGTCTTCTTGCTTTTCTTTTCGGAGGTTTAAGATATCACTCGGCCCGTTTTGGAGAAAGCCGGCTCGGTGAGACCGCGCCCATCCCCGTGCCCAATGCCCCGTCCGGAGCGAGCGAGAGTCGGAGGTGAGTCTGCCGCCGCTGCAGAGCCGTCTCCGCGGCTGGTGGCCGTGGCTGCCCACCTCCAGCGATCCGAACCCACGGGGGGACCGAAGGCCATGGCACCGTGCACGGACGGATGTGCACGCGCCGGTGAGGTTCAAAGTCATAGCAAGGTGCGCCCAATTTGGATGACCATCCTTAGGAAAACCCTGGTGGCTATATGAACCCCCATGATTTTAAGGGTGGTTTGAACCCCAGGGTGTGGGTGACAAGCCAAGTGGGCGGCGCTGGGTCGTCTCAGAGGCTTTGAAGCCCCTTCCCGGTGGGGGTTTTGGTTTTTTTTACGGGGTTCCCTGAATTTCCCGAATCCTGAAGAAGCCAAGTGGTTCTCAAAGTGTCAGTTTTCGAGGCGTGCTTCCCTTGCAACGACCATGAGGCCCAAAATACCCAAGGGCGCTTCTTGGCTTATCCTGGTAGTTATCATGGTTGTTGTTGGGAAACATTTTACATTTTTGCTTCTTGTGGTTTAGTGGGAAATCCCCACGTAACTGCTGAAATTTAATTTTTTGCCCCCCTTCCAACGTCAATCGAGTTATGGCCAACGTGGTATCCAAAGTCAGCAGGTTCTGCGCGCTTCTCACTTCTACCAGGCTGTCAAAACATCAGCGCCGATATAATACCCAGAAGGGGATGGTGAACTCTAGAGAGTCATGGAGTGTCCGAATGCCTCTCCACAATGAATCTGCACATGGGGGACAAGTCATTTGATATGTGGTTGGCAATTTGGCACAATCTCCTTCACTCTGGGCTTGAAGAGGGGAAAGCAAGAGGCCAGCGGAAGTGAAAGCGCTGCTTGAACCAATGAGATGACAAGGAGGATTCGGGGTTTGACAAAACGGCGCCTTGCCTCTTTTGGGACCCCAGGCGGGAAGCTTTTAATGTCACCGATCTCCTTTCCTTGCGTTCGCAAAGACGATGGAGATGGGAGCCTCTCTATTCCCAGCCGAAGACTGTCTGAGAGACGCAAAGAGGAATAGATGAAGGAAGGAGACAGACCATCCATCGCCGGGGGCCAAACCTTTGACAACTGCCTTGTGTTTGGAATGCAAACGAAGGCCCTAGATCTTGCAGGGGCACTGGCAAAGTGTGGTAGGCAAGTCATGAGCCATTTGAGTTTAAGACATATGCCTAACTCTACTCACCACCCATATCATCACTTCGTTGCATCCTTTACAGGCCCTTGCTTGTCGGCCATGCACGCTTGGTCTCCCCTGCGAAAGGTCTTGGTCAAAGACCATGGCAAATCTAAGAATCAGCAGTCTGCCCCCCTGACATAAGGTATCTTTTGTGCACCCCGCACCCCAGATCTCAATGTTGAAATGTCCGTGGGGTTTCATTTGTTTTGTCTACTGGGCCCTTGTCCCTGCAAAACATTCCAACATTGAGATTTGGGGGGGGGTTAGATTCATATTCAAGGCCTTGAACTTTTCGTCCACCGGTAGGGCTGGGCTTCCTGGATCTCCCAGTTCCTCGGTTCCCCGCCCCCTCCCTGAGATGGATGCCGGACGAGAAGTGCACCAAGTGCTTCGCCTGCGGGGAGTTCTTCAACACGTGGACGCGGCGCCGGCATCACTGCCGCCTCTGCGGCCAGATCTTCTGCCACAAGCGCCTGGGACGTCGGAAATCGTACAGCTGGTCACACCCCCACACACAACCCGCACCTCCGGTGATCTATGTTAGTCTGCCAAAGGGGTGGTGAAAGAAGGACCTGTTTGGCAGGTGACACATTGGACCTGATCACCTTTTGGTTTGGGACGCCCGTGACTGCTGTCCCCCCAGTTGCAACCAGTTGAATTCACCCTTTAACGGCATCTTTTGATATGCAACACCTGCATTTCCCATGACCGCGTTGGGCAAGCATGCACACGCTGATTTGGAGCCCATCCGCAACAGTGGGCATAGCAGCCTTGCGTCTACTAGCAACCTAGTGTCTACGAGTGACTCTGAGAGGGCCATGAAGGACCACTGACCGCCACAACCCAAGGGCGTAGGGTTCGACTAAGTATTGGGCCCGCTCAGTCGGATCTCATCCAGGCCGTTTGGCATCAGAGGAATTGTGGCATCGACCGCCAGAATCGCTTCTCACCGGTTTTGGTGGCTTCACACTCATGCGAGGCCAATACCATTTGCACAGAGATGATACAACTGAACGCGAACATGCAGCCAACTCCCCAAGACATGTCCGTTTTGACCAGACATGGTGGTCTGCCCTGTCTGTTTCTTTGCCGCGCAAAGTGTAGAAACCTTGAAATCGCGGGAACCCTTTTTGCTGATCAAATGGAATAGGCGCACCTAGGTCAGGTTTCCGAGCAGCTCATGGTCTCGGCCATGGTGTAGAACCGTTGGTTATTAGGTGAGCCACAAAACCCGGGTAGATGAAGGTGAGTAAGGGGCAGTCCCAGCCAGAAGTAGTTGCGGCCGCCTTCTTAATTCTTTACATGGTTCTGGGTAGACCATTCTTGTACCGGGTTTTGATTGTGACTCATCTGTTTTTCTTGGTTCCATTACCCAGGGTTCCATTTTTGGGCCTTTTGGGTGTAGAACCGTTGGTTCTCAGGTGGTCCAACTGACCTTTGAAAGACCGGAATTGTTTGTCTTCGTGGTCTCCGGTGGAACCCACAGGAGTTCACTTGGGCATCTCGCCAAAAACGGATGACCTCTCATGAAGGTGTTGTTTTTCATCCTTTCTCGAGGTTTGGATGTGGCTTTTGTGTTTCCACCCCTGTAGGATATGAACAGAGTGCTAACAGATGTCTAAAACACGAGTTGCACGGAAGAGGTAGAGGTGAAATCCGCAAACATCCCGAATCCAAGCCGGTTTCCAGATCTTATCAGTCGCTTTTCTTTCGCGGTGGGAAGTCTACGAACTTACCCCAAGACACCAAGATTTTGTCTTACCCCCCCCCCTTTTTTTTTCTTCTTCTTTTTTCTTTTTTTGGGGGGGGATCCGGTGTTTCTGTTTTTTTTACTAGGGCTGGTCCCCTGGGTGGGTTGGCTGGTGGGTTG